CCCCAGCCAGGGTCAACGGCACTGTGGAATCTGTGGGAGAGTGGGCCATAACGCCCGTACGTGCCAAAAAGAATGTAGAAGAAGATTCTATGTTAGATGCAAGTGAGTCGTACGAAGCATCTATAGCTAGTGTAGAGTAATTCAAGTTTTCATATGTGATGTTCGCGATGCCAAGAAAAAGTAGGCACACTCGGTGGGGTGGCACTCTCGGTGGTGGAATACGTTATATATATATATATATCTGTATATAAGGGGGGTTATATATTCGTGTGTAACGCAGTATCGTCAAAACAAGGCAATTTCTCAACTCATAAACCCATTCTTCTAATCATCGCACAAATGCAATCAGTATCGACGTGAGTCACGGCTTCAACGCCTTCTCTACCAAGTCCCTCCTGCGCCCGTCCATCTCCATACTCAAGGCCATATCGCGCCCGCGCGCACTCATCTTGGCCCAGGTTTTCCTCAGGATACGCACAATCTTGTCTTGGTCATGTTCCTTTTCAAAGGCGGCGAATTGGTCGTCGAGGAAAACTAGGCAGGCAACATCTTCTAGCACTACTACTTCTTCTTCGTCCTCATCCCCCTCTTTATCCCCACCACCAGCAGCACCACCAGAAGAAGAAGAAGAAGAAGAAGAAGAAGAAGCAGTGCTTAACCCCTCCTTCTTAATCAACCTCCCCACATGCTGACTCTCCTCCTCGCTAAACCCCGCCTCTCTACAAATCGCCACGACGAGATCCGCCTGCCGCTTCTTCGCATTGGCGCGCCACGCATGGTATCCAGCGCGGGTAGCGGGGTATTCGGAGCGCGGGGTTTCCCATCTGCGAAAGTGCTGTGCGCGGATGGCGAGGCGCAGCAACGGCGAGGCCGAGGGGCTGCGCTGCGAGAGGTATGCGCTGCATTTGCGCGCGTAGTGCAGTTCGTAGGGGATGGGTGTGGTGTTTTCCGTGGTGGGGGAGCTGAGTGTGGGGTCGAGCGCGTGCGCTGCGTCGATGGCTGCGAGCGCTGCGTCGTACGGTGTTGTGGGCGCTGGTGCTGGTGCTGATGCTGATGCTGATGCTGATGCTGATGTCATGCTTGATTGTGGCGGGGCGCTGGCTGCATTGAGAAAGAGAAAGAGAAGTAGAGAGTTGTTAGCACGTCTGGTGTTGCCTACTGCTGTTGGCGTTGATTGCTACGCTACTAGCTATAGTGGGGCTCTCTCTCTCTCTCTCTCTCTCTCTCTCTCTTCTACATCCATACACGTACACATACGTACCCCTACCCCCGCGCGTGAGCGCAAAGTGGGGGTCCATGATGATGATTTTCCGGGTCCCTGTCGATCTCTTCTTGATCGGTGTGCACATTTCACATTTCCACATTTCACACTTCACATTGCATATTTGCTTGCTACACCTACCCAACTTGTCATAATATTTATTTCCAACCTAGCTCTCTGAGTGGAACGCACGGAAAAACATGTTGCGTGGAAGGCGCATGATTCGTAGTTTCAAATTTGTTGCATGATGAATGATGGCGATTTGTGGGGTTGAAGTGTGTGATTGGGTGGTGGGGCGGGAATGAGGATGTATATCCGAGTGCGTGGACATTGGGGATATTAGCATTAGTAGTGTGCTTCTACATAGCGCCGCGATAACTATCCTATGCAGGGGGAGATTGGCGGTCCGGTGAGTGCAAGGGGTAGTTGCCATGGCAGAGACATGTTGGGAGTGAATCAGCTCACGTTATCGACGCCACATGGGCTGCATGTGTCTCAGCACGGCAGCCATGTGGAGCTGGATTCAAGGCAAACACGTACATACATGTACACACATCATGTTAGGAAGGAAAAAAAAGGAGAGACTACAGTATGTTTCTCAGTAACCCCCGGAGTTTAAACTCGGCGTTTACACAGTCTCTAGCCGCGGGCCTGTGACATCCGCGGAGCCTCAACTAGGCTCATTTCACACTTCGATCAAGCGTAAACACCATCTGCACGTCGAGCGTTTCTACATTTCCAATATACATCTCTTCATTCATTCATTCATTCCCTTGCACAACAAAGGACGCCTCTCGTCCATTGCAGCGCCAAAACCTTGTTCCCTTTGCTAGTCCTACACGTGCTACGCTAGTAATATGCCGAACGTAGATCCCGCTCCGAGTGGAACTGGAACTGTCGGTATTGATCGGCGAAAAAAAAAGCGTTAAACGCACGCGTCGGTAAACGTTTTCCAAAGAGGAAATGGGCTGATTTGAATGGCCCGTTCTACTGCATGCTGTCTCATTGGTGGGATGCGATTCAGCCCCAATTTCCTTGTGAGCTCTGGTTCCAGGAGCCATTGCCTTGTTGAGACATGGATGGCGGCACTTGGAAGTAACCGTTAGGGTCGGAGTTTTGGTGGTCCCAGCCATTGGCATCTTGTCCTGTTGATGAGGAAGCCCCAGGGCTGCGCCCTTGCACTGGAAGGCCTGGACCGTATACCAAAGCCCTTCTTGTTTGGCCACCTGATGGTTGTGGAAGATCGGGCACTGGCTGTGGAGATGGGGTTGCCCAGGTCTGCTGGGATGGGCTGGCATCATACGCCATGCCATGTGTTTGCGGACTTTGTCCGGAACCATCATATGCGTTTCCGTTGTACGACATGGAGCTAGCATATGGACTCGACTGGGGAAAGAGGCTGGGCGGTGTGGTCGGAAGGCTAGAGTACATCAAGTGTGGCGGCTGTGGCGACACGGATGCCATAGACCCCCACTGCGGAGAATAAGTCGTCGGAGGTGGCAACTGCTGTCCCATAGGCGAGGGATGTGCAGAGACTTGACTACGTTGGTGAAGCTGTGCTGAAAGAGAAGCTGATTCACGCTGAAATCGGTCCCGCCAGTGTATGAAACCAAATCTTAGTCCGAACTTGGAGAGCAGCGAAGTGTAATCGTTCAGAGCATGGATGGCTCGGGTGGTCGGATCCAGTGGAAACGCCTGTCCCTCTCCAAGTGAAGGACTAGGGAAGGGTGGCGCGCTGACCTGTGTAGGTGGGGCGAGGGGATCTTCCGACTCCACCTCGGTACCCACCGGCGTAGGAGGGACCGCAGGCCTTGGGTCGAGGATGACATCCATGTTACGCGACAGCACGTCTACAAATTGGCGGCCTGTCATGTATGCGCGCATTGCATCATAATAGGTGATTGGCGGCTTGACCGTGTTGGAAGGTTTGTCCAACACCTCGAGCAGGTTGGTGGCGTATGCAATGCAGTGCTCGAAAATTAGGCGCTGGGCATACTCGTGTATGTGAGGTATCCGTGGGTTTGGCGACAGGATGTAGACGTAGCTGTAGAGCAGCTCCAACTCGAAAAAGGACTTGACAGCCGGTAGGGTACTTTGCGGCATGTCTTGAAACCACTGTGCCATTCTGTTGTACTGCTTCCAAATGTATTGATAGGGCTGTTGCCAAGGCTCGCGACCAGATTGGAATAGGTCCATGTACCATTCCGATTGGATTTCACGAACCTTGAACAAATCAATGGCGGCATCGAAGGATTGTTGGAAGACGTGCGACTGGGGGGACGAGTATTTGGGTGACATGGGAGTGCTGTAGAAGGGAAAGGCTACGTTGGCGGCTTCGTCCGACAAGGAAAAGGCGCGTGTTTGAACGAGCGAGGTAGATCTGGAGGAGTCAGCCATGGATTTGGAGTGGATTGTGTATGATATACCTGTCAAGCGAATACACGCACCAATATACCCGCCTCCTGAGCTCCAGCTTTGTACGGGATATTGCGACATTTTTGGACGGGTCCTGGTGGATGCCCAAATCGACCATGGCTCTCGAAGCGGCGCCTACAAGCGTCCAGCTGTCGAAGTGATGAGGGTCCATGGTGGCATATATAATCCACAGAATCAGAGCTTGAATACTAGAGATGTATCCCGGGTGCAGCACGTCTTCGGCATTGTCCAGGGCAGCATTCATGTGGCCAACAGCATCTGTGTAGTGATTATCTCCCCTGGACTCTGACTGGGACAGACAGGCAATGGCCAGGACCATGCGAACACACCAGCGGTCCCATGGAGTGGAATTGTCGCCCTGCTGGTAGACGGCATCGACCGAGGCATAGAGAGTTGCCTCTTCGAAGACGGGCCAAAGCGTGAAGATGTTGTTGAGATAGTGCTGGATCAGCGGAGTAGCGGCAAACTTTGGAGGCAACGGCTTGATCATGTCGCCCGGCAGAGGCTCTTTTGTGCTCGCCGATCTGATGAGGCGAGCATACGACATTTCGGTGGTGAAGCCATAAAAGTCTCTTGCCGTGGCATTGACGGCACTTGGAGGGTCAGCAGGGCATGAATGGCGAGCTATATATGCGGCACTCACAGTAGGCCAAAGTCTGACACCAGGTCATCAATCTCCGAGGCCTCGCGCTGGCGTGCAGCTCGCTTGCTGATGGGCTTGGGGGCCTTGACTGTGTCGGTCGAAGCTCTGCGTGGAGTGGAGCTCTCGGACAGGTCGTTCATGACGATACCCGACGACTTTCTCCTGGCTTTTGCTTCTTGAATCTTGCGCTCCAACCGTTCGACGCGGGACTCGAGGGTAGCGACATAGCTTCTCTCCTTGCCCCGTGCAAACTGGTCGTTTGTGCTGGAGCATTCCGAAGCGCGGTTTGACTTTTCGCAGGCAGTGCAGGCGGGCAATTTGCCGTCGCACTTTACTTTTGCAGCTCGGCAGCGCGAGCAGGCGGCGACGGGCCTGCTCACTCGGAGCAGCGGAGTCTCAAGGACCATGGCTGGGCTGTGGCGGGGCGAGTGAATGGCAGCAGCGGCTGGGCATGGGACGAGCAAGGGCGGACTAGCAGGTTGGGGGTGAATTGGGCGGGGACAGATAGGGCCAGGCCGGATTGGGCGCTAGGACAAGAGGGCGATGGGCACAAACGGACAGGAACAAGGCCGCTTCCGGGACGAGGGATACGAGGCGAGACGAGACGGGACGAGACAGGACAAGACAGGACGAGACAGGATAAGAGGGAAGCGGACCAGACCAGGCCAGACGAGGCGGGCTAGCGGTGTCGCGTGGCTTGGTGGGGATGCGGTCCTGGTACCAGGGACGTCGGTACGCCTTGGTATCGTCGTGTGCGGGCGGCGCGTGGTGTTGAGCGGCTTGGACGGCTGCCAGTGCCAGTGCCAGTGCCAGTGCCAGTGGCGGTGCCGGTGCGGGCAGACGGCCCCCCTGTCGGCTCTGCAGAAGCGCGGCACGGCGGGCGTATGGATGGCGAGTAACGGGGCGACGGGCGGCGGCGGGCGGCGAGCGGCGAGCGGCGGACGGCCAGATGAAAGAAGATTTGGGCTGTGTGGGCAGCGGGCCTATGGGACGCGTGGGGCGACGCATCTGGCTGGCCGTCTACGCCGCACCAGCATGGCGGCGGCGGTGTTTTCTCCTGGGCCATGGGCTGATTGGCGCCCGTTGGCTGCATAGAGCCTGGCCATGCCCCCGCTTAGGTGCCGCTGTCGTTACTGCAGACTGTATACTTACTCCATCGATGTACCGACGTCGCTTGTGCCTGTCCTACTCTACACCATCTATCCACCATGCCCTGCTGCTAAGCCCTGCTTTTGCCAACCCCGACGGCCACGCCTACTCTTCAACCACAGACAGCCCTGCCCACCCTCTCCCCTCCCCTCCCCCCTCGTCCCCCTCGCCGCCGCGACAACACCTCCGGGCATGGCCGTGCACGCTTCCCTCCCCACACGCCCGGCCGAGCAACCCTCATAAAGCCTCCCGTTCCTCGCCTCCCCTCGACCCGCTCCCCGCCGTGCCTGGATGTCGAGTGACACTGTAGCCATGGAAGTCGCGACCGCGACACAGACAAGGGCCGAAGGCACCCCGCACCCCCATCCGCCAGACGAAGCCGCCGCCACCTCCACAACCACCACGACTACAACTACAACCACCGCCTCCACCGCCCCCCAGACCCGCATCGCCCACACCCTCACGGCCTGCTGTCGCTGCCGCACGGTAAGCATCGTCCGCCCGTCGTCCGCCCATGCTCCGCCCGACTGACCACTCCCCCAGCGCAAGACCAGGTGCGACCCCGGCCTCCCTCGATGCGGGCCCTGCGAGCGCACAAACTCGCACTGCGAATACTACGACCCCGCAAAGGGCCGCAAGATCCCCCGCAACTATGTCGTCCACCTCCAGCAAAAGGTGCGCCTTCTCGAGAAGCAGCTGGCTGATCTCGAGCGCGATGACGTCGAGCCCGACGCCGAAGATGTCATGCGCGGCGCAGCCACGGTGCGTGTCCAGGACTCGGACGAGTCCAAGTTCCTCGGCCCTTCGAGCGGCATCACCATCACCCGCCTGGTGATGCAGCTGGCCAAGCAGTTTACCGAGTCCAAGAGCATCTCCGAAATCGTCCCCCACGCACGAGCAAAGGACATCAAGGACACCTTTACCCAGGAAGACCAGCGGCCCACGTCCAAGGTGTACCCCATCGTCAGCGATGTGGCGGCCGAGGAGCTACCCAGCAGAGACGTCACCAACCTGCTCGTCGAACTCTTCTACTGCAAAGGCACCCATCCCCCCACGTCTCTACTAAGCCTGCACGAGCTGACTGCGCACAGTGCATCCCATGTATCCCATCTTCCACCAGCCTACATTTACGCAGGATGTCAATGACGTCTACAATGGCTCGACTGACCCCTACCAGAACTACTGCCTGCGCATGGTCATTGCCATTAGCCTGCAGAAAATGGACACACAGTACGCGGGCCTTGCCGACAGCTACTATCTCGCCGCCCTCAGGTACTTTGAAGCCGCCATCAAGCCCATGAACCTGAAAACACTGCAGTGTTTTTGCCTGGTAGCGGGATACTCGCTCTTGACGCCCACGAGAACGGCCGTCTATTACATTGTCGGCCTTGGCGTGAGACTATGTCAGGCCCTGGGCTTACACGAAGAGAAAACCATTACCATGGGCCCGGGCGGCCGATCAGCAGATCCTCTGGAAGTCGACATGCGGAGGCGCCTGTTCTGGTGCATACTCACCATGGATTACGGCCTTTCGCACAGCTTAGGACGACCTGCGCATTGCGCCACACGGCGAGAACACATTGATGTCAACTTTGGCGAGCTGGTCGATGATTGCTACATTACCAGGGAAGGCATCAAGCCAGCGCCCCAGGCATCGCTGAAGAAATGGATTGGAATCCATTTTTACAAGATGCGCTTGCTGCAGCTGGAAATCCGCAAGATGCTATACCAAAAGAAGAAACCCGAGCCCAAAAACGACCAGCACCCCTGGTTTATTCAGATGCAGGCAAAGATTGAGGCATGGCGAGATACGAGCCCAGAGATGGATGGCGGATCAGGCCTAAACAAGGTTTGGTACGTGTCTTGACAATGCTGAATGCACGCGAATACTTACGCTCCCAGGTTCACCGGGCGATACAATACCATGGTCGTCTTCATGTACCGCCCTTCGCCGCAGGTTCCCCGTCCGTCCGTCGAAGCCGCCATCCGGTGCTACGACGCCTGTCAATACAACATCTACATGACCATGAAGCAGATTGAAACCAAGAGCGTCGACGTGACCTGGATCTTCACCCAAGCCATTTTCATGTGCATCAACACGGTGCTCTGGACTCTATCCTACTCCCATGTGCGGAAGCTTCATAGCCGCGAAGAGGTTGAGACCCATCTCAACGTTGCGATTGAGTCGATAAAGAAAGCGTCTGAACGATGGCCCGGCGTCGAGTCTGCCATTGGCCTGTACCACAACCTCATCAGCGCGTGCATGAAGATTTACGACAAAGACGGCGACGTCCCCATCTCGGCTAGCTCTCCGTCAGATACTGCGTCGGTAGCAAATGGCAATGTAGATGGCATCAACCGATCGCGAACTACAAGCCCAGCAACAGCGTCCACTGCATCAGTGGGCACACCGTCCGACAGAGTACCGGCGCCGTTTGGATATCTACCGAATCACAATCAGCAACTGTTCAACTTTAGCAACGGCCAAGTGAATACACCCGCTCCATTCTCCAGCGCCCCGAGCATGCCGCAGCCCGACTTGCATACTTCGCCCCAACAGCCTCCGCCCATGGCGTACAATGACGTGAGCCCAAAATCATCAATGGACACTGGCATACCCATTTACAATTATCCGTCGACTACGCAATTCAACTCGCTACCCACGACCTTTGCCGAGCTACCTCAATGGAATCCGACCTTTACGATGCCGTCCCAGGACAACTACAACATGCCAACGATGCCCATGTCATCACCCTTCTACAACGAAACGTATGCAGCGAACCAAGGTTATGAAATGGCCGACTACCTCAATCCAGCCTGGAGCCAAGATGCCAGAGGGACGGGATTGAACCAGCAACAACAGATGGAGCTGATGCACGACTTTGAAATGAACGAATCCAAGAACATTGAGATGATGATTGAACAAAGTCACCAACTATTCCGACCTCCACAGCTAAACACGTACTAAGCCAGCCATAGCTGGTGAATCTAATGCCACGCATCTCATACAATACAGCAAGACCGCCCACCCGTCTTTCGGGTACCGAGCCGATGACGCGTGTGACATCATGGACGATCGAGTGCAGCCGACGCGTATTTTTGCTCAAATGCGGCAATGACATGTCACTGAGATGTGAAGCCAAACTTTGTATTGTCGATCATGTCGATCATTACCGGCAACTACGTTCGGAGGCCGCCTAAATGGCCTCGATGCCATGTTCCAGAAGAACGAGATAAGTCGAGTCAGCAACTCAATTTCTCTCCGGCGATCTTGAAAAATTCGCATCAATAGATCCGCTTGGCAACCCGCCACCGCCTTTTGCCAGGCTTTCGACTGAGGTCAACGCGTCAAAGGAATTCACCATGATTCAATGACGAGTTAGACTTGCGAAGCCACCTTTGCTAAAAATAACTGCTGAAAAAGGCTCCGCTCCGTCCGTACATGTGCATGCAGTTTGGTAGGCCTCGCATCCCTGCAAGCACAGTATGCAGCATGGTTTCGGACTTGACTAGGATGTTGATGCAAGCAGCCTGCATCGTGTAATGTACCTGTACAAACTGAACTATGATAGTACGCACTTCCAAACGCAAGAGACAGGGTTATGGGATGTCGCATGATTAAAGTAGATTACATTTAGTATCAAGCCAGCTGGCCTGGATCTTCTTCATCCATGCAATGTCATGAAAACAGCTCTTGTACATGCTTTGTCGTAAACAAAAGCCGTGTCTATTGGTACAGTTACAGTTATTACTACAAGCTTCGTCGTGCAGGAATACCATGATGGATATCCGTTCCTCCCACAGGACTACTTTTGCATAGTCGTTCTCATGCATGACGTGACTCAATCCTCTCAATCCCAATCCCTCCCACTCCCCCTACATTTGCTGTATTCAGAATCCCACACTCACTCACTCACTCACTCACTCCTCCTCTTCTTCTTCTTCTTCTTCCTCCTCATCACAACCACGCTCATACCTCTCCCTCAGCCTCTTCCTCTCCCGCTCAACCCAACCCCCCAACTCACCCACCACATACTCAACCCGCAAATCCGCATCCCCACTATCTCCATCCCCACTATCACCACCACCACCACCAGTGCTCGCATCCCAAACCCCCTTCAAAACACCAAACACCCACTCCCCACCCGCCATGACAGTAACGTGCTCCCAGTCCCGCACTACAGGCCGTGTATCGTGTAGTTCCTGCACCAGTTCGCAGAGTGTTTTTGGGGCTGGACCGGCATCGCTGTGGGAAGCAGCGTGGTGGTGGTGGTGGTGGTGGTGATGGTGGTCTTCGAGAATGTTTTCGAGGGCTATGGTTGCGCCGCGGTGGAAGTGGGGGAGGGAGTGGGCGGCGAGGAAGGGGAAGGAGGGGAAGGTTAGGGGTTTTTTGGTCGTGCTGCTGCTGCTGGTTCTGGTGGTGTTGGTGTTGGTGTTGGTGTTGGTGGATGGGTGGGTGAAGGGAGTGCTGGTTGTGAGGATGCTGCTGCTGGTTCTGGTGGTGTTGGTGTTGGTGTTGGTGTTGGTGGATGGGTGGGTGAAGGGAGTGCTGGTTGTGAGGATGCTGCTGCTGCTGCTGTTGTGTCGGGAATGCGTTCCGCCGTCTGGAGTCCTGTATCGAGTGTATTTTGCGGCTCGCGTGGCGCTTCTGCTTTGCGGGTGCGACGGTGGAGAGGTGCTGCTGCTGCTGCTGCTGTAGATGTCGATGTCGATGCTGCTGGGAACCTTGCTTGTACTGGCACTGGCACTGGCAACGGGGCCGCTGGAATAGCGGGTATATTTGCAACAGCACTGCGGCGCGACCGTCCAGATTGTCTCTTTGGCTCTTGAACTGTCGATGTAGATGTAGATGCTCGTGCCCCCTTGGGCGGGTCGGCGGTAGTAAACACCTTCCATGTAGATATAGCGCCGCGGCGTGAGTGTGCCTGTGAGGACGACAACAACGATGTCTGAGGATTCATTATGGTTTCGTACGGTGCGGAAGTTTTTGCTTTCTTGGATGGACGGCTGGACTCGAGGGCTCCTTGGGTGGTGGTGGTGGTGGTGGTGGTGGTGGTGTTGATGTCTACGGCCTCAGCGCTGTGCCCACCGCGTGCGTGCGGAGAAGCTGCTTGACGCTTGCGCGAAGGCGTCTCTACGCGTTCCAGAACAGCCAGACGCAGCGATGGGATCTTGAGCTTCAGAATACAGCGTTTCTGCTTGGCAAGATGGGTCCTGTATTTGAGTTTTACAACGAGGCTTTTAGCGTCTTTGGGACGTGCAGTGTAGTAGCTCTCTGGGACGTTCTTGTGTGTAGTCGGAGTAGTCGGGGTAGTAGTAGTAGTCGGAGTAGTAGTTTTGGGCATGTAGAGGCGGATTTTGAGTTTGGGGGGGTTGTTCTCGTCGACGGGCGGTTTGCTAGAGACACATGCTGTCTGTTGTTTGTCAGTCTTTGTCAAGCTGTGCATACTTGCCTTTGGAGCATAAACAAACACACGTACATCTTGAGATAGCTCTTCATCGGCTTCATCCGCTGTATCGTGTGCTGAGCCAGCGTCGTCGGTGTCGTCCATGAAATCTTCTGTATGAAGACTGGTCGACGACGACGATGATGATGACTTGGACTTTGGGTATGGCATGACTGTCGGACCATACAGATGGCGCTTTGGATCTCTTCCAGTGAGTTCAGCAGAGAAGTGAGCAGCGCGCTTCCGCCGCCTCCACAACACGACTGCCGCTTCGAGTTTTGCTTCGTGCAAGTGCTTGGTTTTGGGTCTTCCTCGCTTGCCTTTGCCCTTTGCACTGGTACCCTTTGCAGTGGTACTCTTCGCACTGGCACTCTTGCGCTTGGAGGACTTGGCTCCGTAATCAGAGTCCGACTCGTCTGCCTCGTCGGAGGATTCTTCAGAGTCAAAGAGTGCTTCTGCGCGCTCGCTGGGCGGGTCTTGCAGGAAATCCGGCACAGACTCCAGGGCCGTCTCATCGGCTGTATCGCTCGTGGCCTGCACACCTTGTTGCTGCTGGAGCAGAGCCGCATTTTCATCGCACAAAGCCTCAATGCTCTTGATCGTTTCCTGCAGAACACAGACTACAGGTTTCTCCTCGCAGACAGCATCGAGGACGCCGAATCCAATCGCATGATTGAAAATCTGGTCACCTCGTGCTCGCACATCGGGGAGAAGCGCGGCATCAGCCTCGAAGATGTCTCTGCGCCGGTAAAACTCCTTCATGCACCCATTGTAGTCCAGCGTACCATTCTGTATCGCCGTTTCTACGTCGCCCGTCTCCATGGCGTGCCGTGTGCCTCCTCGCCAATTGAGCTTGGAGAATGCTGTGTGGCACTGAGAAGGCACCGACTGGCTGCTGTGAAGACGGCACAGGTGGGAAAGCGCAAACTGCGAGGTAAACAGTTAGAATATACGACACACCAATGTATAAAAGCTATCCGGATGGATCCAGAGGTTCTTTGGCGCTGGTCGAGAGGTTCAAGCTGAGGAGGGTGGTCCAATGGCAATGCGAACAGAGGCCACGAAGGGATCGATGGGAGAAGGGGGAGGGGGAAAGAGAGTTCACGATATTAGAGGGCAAAATTCCCAAAATGTGTCTGTGTCTATTACTGCAAACAGATATCTTGGCGAAGAAAATTCAAAATTAGGCAACTCTGTTCTAGCGCTTTTCACATTTTGCCTTCACTTTCACTTTCACCCGTTTTGGGCATAGCCAGGTCCGATTTTGGACGACACGGGGACACTGGAGCGCGATTTTGCCAGGGCTAGTCTACGAAATGACTACTAATGTCTTTTCAATGGTATGTAATAAGTATATCTGAGGAATACAGGAATTCGGTTTCTAAAAGATTTTGGGGCTGTCGGCGTCAATGATACCTTCTACCCAACGGCACTGCGGTAGTCTTGCCATGAGCGTTCCTGCAAAACCAGCACTTGAGCAATATTGCATGTGGACTCCACAAGCTCTTTATGACTCTGCTAGCCAGACTTCACAAAGAAGAAAGAGTGAATAATAGTAAACTCTTTCATTGCACACGTCATGTCGAGTCTGTAAGCCTGACTTCGCGCCAAGCCACTCTAGCCCGACTCTTGTCCGAGTGCTCGACTGCATCAAATATGTGATAAAACGGATACATTGCAAGTGTCTTTTTATTCAGTAATACTGTTTCAAGTACTAATATGGTATATCGATTTTTGACCTGTAAATGACGGTGTACATAGCACTCGACTTGAACAAAAAATCCTCTTCTTTTATCCGCTTGGGTAGACATGGACAATCCAATCCAATCCAATCCGGACGTACAGCACACACCAAGGGAAAAAAAGAACCAGCGAAACTGTGCAAATAGGAATACTTCATTAGTTCATCGATCCATGAATCTATCATTCTATCATGAAAATATATATATACAAGACGCGCCTCAAAATCCAGTAACCCCCCACCCCTGCTTCCCAAACCCGCTTCTCCGAAAATCCATGCACAAACTTGATCATTCTACAATCTATCGTATCATAGCACGACTGGTTTCAATCAATCAAGGAGAAAGAACCAAAGAAGAAAAAACGCAGGATACTCAAAAACACCCACTCACTCACTCACTCACAAAGACAAACACGCGCGTCATCCTTTTCGACACACGTAACCTCCCACTCCTCTGGTGACTTCCGCGCGCAGAAAAAAAAATCCCACGGTATACACCCTGGCAAATGCAGAAAAAACCCTTGCAAATGAAGAGAGTGTCCGCCTCTTCCCCCTCCTCGCTAAAGAGAAGAAAAGAAGAAGAAGAAGAAGATGGACAAAAGTCGCATATACCCAAAAACGTCAATGATAACCCCCATACCCCAAAGAAAGAAAGAAAGAAAGAAAAAAAAGCGCCCGCAAAAAATAAAAATAAAAAGGATATACTCTGAGTCCCTCTTTTACAAAAGCAAAAGAAGGTACAGGAAGAAGGAAAAAGGAACCAAGAGCAGGAGGTGGAAAAAAAGGTGTTACTGTGCTGCAACAACATGTGCATTTTGCTCTGGCGTACGCGACCGAACGCTGACCGAACAGCTTGTACGCGCCTCACGTAACTCCGCATTCCTGGCATCTCGCACAGCCGCATCAACAGCATCATGCAGGTCGAGATGGAAAAACGGGCGGTCGATACCATACAGCAGTTCGAACCGCCGTTTCCCAGCCAAAGTCGGTGCTGGAATGCGCGGTTCACTTGTATGTGTGATACAGTCTTTGGTCGATTCTTCGTCGGAGACACGCGCTGTTTTCTCCGCGGCTTCGGCGTCTTTGCGCTGTTCGGCGCAGGCGCCGGCGAGACTGCTTGTGACGGTGTATGCGGGACACCAGGATTTCATTGCGTCGAGGTTAGTGGTAGCGGGGAAGCCGAAGCCGGCGAACGAAAGCGCTTTGCGTGTCCAGCGGTTGTGCACGCCGGCAAAGTGCCATTCTACGAGGGCCGGCGCCGCATACCGGTCTAGCGTGTCGCGGAGGCCCTTTAGCCCGTCGATGCTGGTGATGTCGAGCACGTTGACGGTGGAAAAGTCGAGGACCACGGCTCGGAGGATTGGCAGGGAGGATGACTCTTGGATGAGCCTCTGCGTAGGGGGAGCGTCGCACCAGAGACGGTCGCAGTCGCGGATGCCGTCGTCGATTTGCACTTGGCGCGTGTGTGATGTTATGTAAGAGGTCAGGTAGTCGATGTGCTGTGCTTGGTTGATATAGTTGAAGTTTTCGCTGAAGCGGTAGATGAAGACGCCGGGGTATGCAGGTTCGACTGTGACGTTGGGGTTGTGGTTGTCTTTGGTATCGTACGGAATGTAGACCTGGCGCGTCCCTGGAACTTGTTCGACTTGACTGGCATTGGTGCCGAGCGTCTCTGTAGACGATGACTTGTTGGAAGACTGATCCTCCCGCACAATTCGAGTGACGCCGACTGCACCGCGAAACTTGCCTGGGCTCTTTGCCATACGAAAGAGGAGCATGGCAAAAGAAAGGCCGACAGTAACGTAGATGGCAGTCTCAAGATCGGTAAAGAAGGCTATGACCACGCCACATACCCAGATGAAGAATTCAAACGGGGACAGCTGGTAGTACTTGTACAGATCTTTGGGGCCCTTGATCAGGTCCACTGTGGAATGGATGATGAGGCCTGCTAGAGCTGCGTTGGGGATGTAGTAGAAAACCGCAGTGAGAGCATAGAGTGCCAGTACCAGTACCAACGCACTGAAGAGGCCCGACAGCGGAGTTCGCACTGCTGCCTTGGATAGCACAGCAGAAGCACCAAAGGAGCCAGTGCATACGTAGCCACCAACAAAAGGATTCAGTAGGTTGGCCGCACCTTGAGCAATCATCTCCTGGGAGGGACTGACGGTGTAGTTGTGCTTGCGACCGAAACTTTTGGCAATGGCAATGTGTTCGACAATCAGAATGATGATGATGGCAGGAAGCTCTGAAGCCACCGCACCGAACAACTCTCCTTCCATTGGGGGAATGGCGGCGTGACTGAAGCCTTTCTCAATCTTACCCACAATGCGAAACTTCTCCTTACCCGCGGGCGTCGTTCGATGGACCAACCAACTTACAAAAGTGTAGAGCAACATGGTAAAGGTCAGACGCAACGAGCACAGAAGAGACCACATCTTCTTCTTGCGCGGTTGTCGCACCTCCATCTTCGTACACGTGTTCTTGATGAGGTACAAGAGCACAATGGATGTGATGCCGATGGCGGCATCAAGTCTCGACCTGGGAAGCGCCTTGAGGAAGTTGACATATACCTTGTACGGCGACTGGCGAGTGTTTATTCCCTTCAAGCCCATCAGCGTCGGCAGCTGCGTCGAGATAATAGTGATGCTGGCCGATGTGATGAAAGCCGAGATGGGAATGTAGGGTATAAACTCGATGATGAAGCCAAGGCGAAGGATACCAAAACCCAGTACAATGACACCAGCCAGAAAGCTGAGGGCATAAGCTACATGCTCAGCCGGATATTTTCCCGGATGCTCAGCCTCAACCTTGCTGACAGCATTGCCAACCAGGAGGGAACCAACTGCCGTAGTCTAAGTGGGTGTTAGATGAAACTATACCATGGCACAGACTTGGACTTACACCGATGACAATGTCTCTCGAGGTACCGAATATCCAGTACAGACAAGCACCGGTAAAGGTAGTGTAGAGACCAAACGCAGGCGATAAGCGAGCAAGCGACGCATAGGCCACGCCCTGGGGAACTACCACGAGGCCCACCGTGATTCCTAGCGCGTGTTATTATGCAAACGAGACAGCTGGGGCTACATGGGTGCGTACCAGCAATGACGTCGCCAGCCAGCCAGTGGAGGTTGTATCTTCGCAGCCAGCGGGCGCTGGGAAACAGTTCGCGGACATAGTCGGCCACGCCCTGGGACGTTGGAATGCACTCGCGAAACCACTCGGCCACGGATGGATCTTCCTCGATATACGTGTCGCCAACGGTTTCGTTGGCTATGTTCTTGAGTGTTGCCGTCTGCTCGCTGCGGTCCTCTGAGAAGCTTGGGAGCAGCTTCATTGCCTTGCTGTCGAGGCGAGTGCCCGTGGAGTCGAGAAGATTAAGAATTCCCGAGAGACACGCACGTGCGCAAACAACATGTATGACAGGCAGTGCACAGGCGATGTACTCGTGCAGTGTTGGATCTGGGGCCAGGCACGGCGTCGGCAAGGTCAAGTCGCGGGTCTCGTGCAATGGGCAACAAAAGAGCGTGTATGGGGGAGCTTGAGGAAGCGGCGAGGTTATGAATCGAACAACAAAGCTTTTTTTCCATGGCTGGCTGGCGGTCGGGATGCTCTTCCCATGGAGCCTAACGCACTGTGCTGGGAGCATTTGACCGATGAACCGAACTTGTCGGGCGAGAAGCCTTGGCAGCTCCGCCGCAACGACAACAGCAATGTGCGTAGCAGTAGCGCGCCTCACCGCCGCCTAGTCGCCGCGCTTCCCCGTCTCGCCGCTGCGTTCATGATACGTCCAAGACGGAGACAAAGACAGGCCACACACACCTACGCCGTCCCTGCGTTAGCAAAGGGCTCGGGGGAGCGCGCCAATGGGCCTCGACGCGCCGTGGGTGGAAGCTCCCGCGCGACAGTCATGGCGCCAGATCTTCACTTTGCTTCTCTCTGGCATGAATCCAACCTCCAGCTCTTGCACACGGCTTGGCTCAATCCAGGCGCTGTGCGGGAGGCGCCATTGGATGGCGAGCCTCCGGTGAAGCCCTGCCGCCATACAACTAGCCACTCGTACCAAGATCCATGACTCGCGCCGTCGGCCAACACGTCGGGGAATGCGCTCCGCTACCACGGCATCCCCGGGGCCAGCTTGTGCACTGCATGTTTTTGCTTGGAGATCGTTGCAGTAGTACTCGTGGCATCGTTTGATCTACACCCAAGATCGTCGACGTCTTGTCACCCATCTGCACCTGGCCCAGTGACGCGTATCCTCTTGCACAAGACAAAGTTAATTCCACCACGTCACCTACCCACCATATGCCAGAACCTTTTTCTTCCCGCAAAGTCAGCATTGTGCTCATTCGCTCGAGGTGCTGTCCATGTCCGTATCCTCGTCCCTGTCCTCCTCATACTCATTATCATCATCCTCTTCAGTTTCCCACTCTTCGCCCTCTTCGTCGTCTTCGCCCACCTTGCCTTTGTTGCTGCTGCTGCTGCTGCGGCTGCCGTCCTTGTCGCCATCTTCACACAAACAGCAGATGCAATCCACCGACATACCTTCCTCTATCCTCCATCCATGAATGATGGCCCGGCTCAGGCGCTCCCCGCGAATACGGCTGCCGTCTACGTAGACCGATAAAGATCCATCACGGTTCTTGGCATAGCCATGTTCACCTGGTTCCTGGTCGGCAAAATCGGCAATTGAATGCTCTTCGTCGGGTCCATCGTCGTCTTCGGTGTCTTCGGTCTTTTCGGCCTCTTCTTGCATTTCCTCATCCATGTCATCCCAATCACCAGTCACTTCTCCCGTGCACCAGTTGCACACAATTCTTGGCTGCATGCCCGCCTCGAAGCTTGCCCCACAGCCACATTGGTGACTGTGACTGCCTCCCCCGCCACTGTGAATCATCTTGTGGCTTGCAATGTCCTTGTCTGCGTTGTGCTCGTCGATATAACAACCTACGCATAGCCAACGGTCCAGGAATCGCTTGCGTAGTGTGCAAGAACATCGCAATGGGCCACTTTTCAGGCGTTCTTCGAAGCAGCTTGGGCAGACGAGCTCCTTCCGCACCGTGACAGTCAAGTTGAGAATCGAGACAATGTCAATGCCACTGTACGGAGGTTGGATCCGACCTAGGGGAGTGAGGAGCGGTTGCTTGCCCAGATCGAGGTCCAGAATGCGGTCGATTGGCTCCGGGTCGCCGATCGCATAGATGCCGAGCGGAATGTGGAAACGACCTTGGTCATGAAGAGGCTCCATCTCTTCCACAGGACGGTACCACGCATCCACATCTCCCTTCTTGGGTGGATAGGCCGCCACCGCCACCGGACGCAAGAAGAAGAACCCGGCCCACCAACGGCGGCCATCATACCCCGCATCTTCTGTAAGGTAGTTGTAGAACACGTGTATGCGGCATTCGTTGCAAGTGTTGACCCCGCACTCGACGCATGGGCGCGATTCCGATGCGAAGCCATCGCCTGCACAGCCCGTGGCTTGGTGGAAAGTCTTGGCTGGACATGCGCAGTGGTTCAATTTGCGTACACTGTAGCCTATTCCCGGGCACAACGTCTTGGAAAGTAGGTTGGCCTTGGCTGTTGCATCGTGCATCCGGATATTCGCATACACTGCCTGCGACACCCGAGACAACGTCGCCAAGTCAAAGGGCGAGAGAAATGAAACCAGCGTCTGTGGCGTGTTAGCAATTTCCCAAATCAGTGAGTGGTGAGACTTGCCTCCAGAACAGGATACAGAGTAAGTGCTGTTGCAAGCGGGTTGGTTGTATTGGGCGCAGCGACAGGTAATTTCCACGCACAAGGCGGCTCTTCATGCTTTTTTCTCGTCATGGCGAGGAACTCTGCAAAAGTTAGTGCGCTGACAGTGGGCAAGTACTACGAACTCACTTGAGACGTGTTGATAGATGGTGATTGCAAAAGACTCTTTTCTGTGCGAGCGAGGAAAAAAGTTGGTGAAGAAATATGGATGACGAAAGCGCCGTGAGATGGTCAAGGCTAGAAAGGAAGGAGCAAACAAGCACGTGCACAAACAATTCTATTACCTCAAGTAAACATTTTTCGCATTTCACCCAATGGCAGCTGTTGATGCGACTACAGGGGGTACTAGAGACATGCATGTAGCAAGCAGTAAGAACAAAATTCGCTGTCCTCAATTAACGCCTTCTCCTCCACGAAGCGTTTCTACCATCGCTCCACCAAAATCCATGTCACGCTCATACATCGAAGCTAGCATCCACTCTATCAGCTCTTCCTTGGACTTGCCCTTGGCCAACTCCTTGATTTCCTGCTTGAACTGCTCCTGGAGCGCTTTTAGTTCGGCTAGTCGCCGCTCCAGAATCTTCTGCTCGCTTTCCTCGTCGTCTTTCTTTCTTTTGAGCTCCTTGAATATGTCAAAATCTGTTTGCTCAGACGGCCTTCGCTTTGTGCCGGCTACAGGCTCGGGGATGGATGTCGTCTTGTCGTGCTCTTGGGGGATACATGGGTCATCTAGAACACGGGAGATCTCGGGCTCGCTGCGAGGCTGATGATTTTGATCGCCGGGGCCTGCGAAAGTCAAAAAGCAAGATATGGGCTTGGACCGTGAAGGCTCTTCGATTTCGGCATCGGCTTCGAAAATTCTTCTCTGTCTGCGCTCTAGTATTTGCATGTCCCGATTGCCAGTCACTGTTCGTTGGGACAGCATCCAAGTCAGTTATCTCCTCCTCAGTCTTGTCACTTTGCTGGTATGTCGACATGGGCTGCTCATCATCTGTATCCTGGTCATCGTCGATAACCATCATTGGCAGGAATGGATGAACGTCAGGTATCGCATCAGTACCGCCTATCCTTGTTAGTGACATCCAAGCATGAGAGTAAACCCTCACCTTTAGCATCGTAGATCTTGCTGATGCAATCAAATACGGATGCAAGGTTGGCCTTTGTAGTCTCCAAGTTCTCTGAGAACACATTTGTTGCCAGCCCTGCGTCCAGGAAGATGTATAAGATGAGATACTTGAGCCAGCGTAAGCTCTCTGTTACGCCAGTCTTCTTGAAGACGCGGAACGGGTACATGAGCGCGAGATCTTTGAGTTCATGGACTTGCTGAGTGGAGTCATGAAAATACTTGTTGAGGAAAGCTACCTCGGCCGACCTGTTTTCCATTCTGTCCAGTGGTCTGAGAAAGGCCCACGTACTGTATTGTGTTGTCTGACCCAGCAATAATAGTTTGTATTCGGCCTCTCCGTCTTTCGGTGGGCTTACGTTGATTATGCGGAACGTGTGGTCGCTGGACTCGCCGAGTTTGGTACGCTTGTACCAGATGCCAGTTTCACGGGCCCATGTGTTGATCATCTCGAGCTGCGACGGGCGGACTGGCAGTTTGAGGACCACAATCATGCTCAGCCTTGTCTTTTCTGTGCTCTTAGTCATTATCTTTTGGTCCATTGTCGCCGCAGTGCTGTAGGAGTATGGCATCGTCAACGAGACGGAGGGCGGCGTCGTCGGGAGCAAGTGTTGCAGTGCCGACTACAAGCAAACTCCAAAGAATTCGTTTCAGGATGCACAGGTCCAGTAATAAAGTAGGCTTTGGCTCTGAAAATGACGAAAACCAAGAGCCCTGTTGTCGAGCGCGTTGTTGTGGGGGCAAAATCAAGGCGAGGGCACGCTACGTACCCTCGCGTGTTGTTTGCAGATTTGGAGAGCAAACGCTTTCATGCGCGCACCCGCCCGCTACGATTTGTGCCCTTCACTCGTTCCAAACGACGTATGTATGCTCGCATTTTGTTTCAGCTCCCCGCTAGAAGGGCCATACCGGAGTATGTCTCGTGGCTGACATGCTATTTACTACTACTAAAGTGTTCGCTAAAGAGGTCAAGGAGCAATAGGAAGTAAGGGCTATTGTCATTTTCAACGTCTCAAGTCATAGAAATACTGATTTCTATTATTTCAAATACTCTTGGATCCATTTTACATTGTATTCCCAAGAGTGACGTTTCCAATGGCGTGCAGCGATTTCCAGTCATTGTACAGTTTCACGGTCTCCAGGAGAAAATCACTTGTCGAATTGGTTCAGAATACTATTTGACCGAGATAAAGTCATTGACTTTTGCGCTGTACACGAGTTTCTCATCGGAAAGTACTAGAGAAGATATAAAGAACTATTGATTTACAGACTGTTATCACGCACTTGAGAGAAATTGAACCTACACATGTGAAAAGACGAGATAAACTCCATTACTCCCGACCTGTCCCTATGGCAACAAGCCTGCGACCATAATTCCCTGTGTGGTTGACCCGAAGCACTCAAATTGCCCACTTGCTGCATGGTGTGTCGTGGCTGATAACCGCAAACTCCTTTCGCGTATCTTGGCATTCCAGAAAGCTTTCTCGTCACTTGTTCTAATACATGTCAGTTAACAAGCACAACTTATCTGGCAGCTACAGAAAAACACACCCTCGGCATCACAGCCATGAACGGCCGTAGCAAATCTCTGGATAGAATCAAAGCCCGCCCGGCACCAAGATGCTAGCCGCCCATCAGCTGCGACTCGACAATGGCAAATGCACCACCAAACCTACCCTCATACTTGCTTTTTCCTCAAGCAACATCCTACCCTTCGTCACTCTCACAAGACGTCTCTTCAGGTATCGGCGCTCTTCTCTTTTACATCAGCAGTGCCGCCCGCACCAACACAAGCCACCAGCTTCTCTCTCTTGACCGCGTCGATACCGACACTGATCTTCACAGGCGCAATGGGATCATCATCATCTGGGCGCCAGATCATCGTCCACAGCTCAGCAGCTAGATTCAACGTGTAGTCAAAGGTGCCTTCGAGCAGCGGCCAAATAGGCTGATAGTGCTGGTGATCCATGGCGAGGTGCCGATTTGCGAGTGCTGATGCTGCGTCGGTAGTTGCGGGGTTCTGAGTGGAAGACGTGCTCAAGTAGGAGGGGAAAGCGGTGAGTGTGGTGTGTGAGTGTGTGCGTGCGTATTTCAAAGGGCGTGTGCAAGGTGGTGATGGTATTGGCGGTGTAGATAGTAGGGCTGGTGAGATAAGGTGTGACTGATAAGGACACTCGAGATAATCCCGATGACGTTGAGGTGATTGGAGCAGGCAAAGTGGGGCCAGAGGGGAGTGGGACCTTGCAAAGACACGTGTGGGCAAATGGGAGGGAGGGAAGGAGGGAAGGGAGCAGGCAAGAACAAGAAAGGAAGGTAGGAGGGGGGGTTGAATCTGATGCTTGTTTGTTGTTTCACTGCCTTGGGCTAGCGAGTCTTGCGCACTGGCAGCCAATAGGCCATTTGCTTGTTTGCGATCTTCATGATTTCGGGAAATAATAGCACTTGCAGTTTTGCTTCTTCCCGAGTTTGTGTCTTCTGCGAAGTTTATGTGGTGTATCAAAAAAGAAACGGATCAGCCGCGGCCGCAGTGTTCCAAGCGGCGCTGAGGCAGAGCCACAGGTGGAGGTCATATTGACGCTTCTCACCCCTTCGGCTCTGTCGCGGTGATGCTAATGCAAGCGTCCTACCGAAGGCCTTCCCATAGACATGCTGAAACGACCATCTGGACATATGAAGCAGTGTTTCAAAGAGTTTGGCCAAGGCGATTGGTACACCATCAGGCTTGGTAGCCCGATTTATGACGGAACTACCTGATTCTCTCAACTTCGTTGGCAGCAAGTGAAACGACTAGACTAGCTAGTATGCGGCTGAGCAGGTGTCAGTCTGTTGATAGCTGATATGATGCCAGGGAAATCGGGCGTGTCGGCGTTTGGTGGTGTAATGATGAGTGCAAAGCCGTAGTTGCGGCTTGCACTGAACCGGGTCCTCATCTCATCGGAGCGTATTCAAGTTGTTAATATGATGCTCCATGGCGGTGAGGCGGTTGTTCTTGTTGGTATTCAGAGCCTGGATAGCGTCGAGGAGAGCATTTACGCCTTGGACTGCAGGAAGATTCTCCAGGTTTCTCATCTTAGTAGGCAATACTTGTACTGACTGGGCAGTTGCATGGAAACTGAATTGGGAGAGGCTAGCAGCTACAGTCGTCGGTGTTGAGCTCGTGGGTTTGCCGGTTGTTGCAAGTGGTCGGGGTTAAGACTGCGTCATTCTGGGGCTCTCGCGCTGGAATAAGAGGTTAAGTACCTGGCTGCAGAACCTTGCGACGAAAAGTGAATCCGTGTTTTTTTTGTGGCTTTGGAGATGCAGAGGTGCATAAAATATCCAGCAGTGACTACTTGCGATACCTGTAACGTAGGATATCGCGCCCAGGATTGAATATGCACTTTCTCGCCCCATCGCGGGGTTCCACGAATACAGGTACCTAGAGACGAAGCTTGCATACCAGGGAATTTCATAAATCTCTGAAAGCATTGGAAGCGCGCATGTGACGAGAATTCGAGGGTTTCGGTTCCACTGGAAGTTGCCGCCTGTGGCACGCAAAGTGGAACATGTCCTCATTACTAAGTGAAACTGTGAGCGGCTCCTATTTTTGTATCTGACTAAGAAAGAAGGAACAGACCATGCTATACTTACACTGTCTTTCTGTGGTTGAAAGCTTACTAAGAGCTATGGGGAGTGCATGCGACTAAGCATCCTGGATCTTGTCGACGTGATTCGAGTCATTAGTCATAGCCTAGTATTACTTAATAATAAATGCAAATGCTCACACGACGCTTTCTGCGACAAAAACCTATGTCGATTTCAATGGGTCGGATTGCGCATTGAGTATTACAGCCGAAAAAACTGGTATAAAACTCGGATGAGCGATAGGACTTTTTGCATCTGTTGGGAATAATAGTTTCAATATCATATACCTATAAGTGACGCAGAAAAGGCTTCCCGGCCCTGTCAATAAAGATGAGATGGGAACTCTCACAAAAAACGTGGCAATTCCAACCAAACTTAATTCCGGCTGGGCCGTGCGTGCATGTAAGATGGGCTGGATTACCGATAGCGTGTACCGAAAGCAATAAAGAGATTGATCATCCAAGGATTACCTACATATACGTATGACCGTGAGATGACCCCTGGAAGCGGCCGGATGGCAGCAGCTTAATGGGTGCAAAGCGAAGATTTTCTTGTCACGCATATAGACTTGGTCTCGTGCTTATGCCAATGTGTCGCTGGAGACGACCTGCTCCTCATCGCCAAGACAAGACAATAGATCCGAGCTGCTAGGGAGCAACAAGTAACTAATCGCTTGTTTTGAGGGCGGGCGAAGAACGCGTAACGCATGTCGCGTATCAAGCAGGGGGCGCCATCAGCCTGCTGTCATACTGGGCGTGAGGACATGAGCCGAAGCTGTGATCAGCAAAAAAGGCCTGCGGCTATCGCAGCGGTCAGCACGCGCACATGTACAAGCGCTGGAATGCTCAAAAGCCCACTGGTACATACCTAGCCGTGGCTGTTCCAGACGAGGTCAAATGAGTAATGTGCATATTGTGATACGGCGTGCCTATTCGGGACGCACAACGGGATGATGACACAAGTTTTGCAGAGGCCAGGGAACAGAGCTGTGTGCCAAGGCGCTAGACTCCAACTGCCTCCCCACACACGGCGTGGATGCCGTCCGTGTTCGCTTTGCCATCCTCTCCAAACTTCTCGCATCTTCCACTCTTGTCCTATGCTTCTCCAACACCCCAGGCCAGAGCTCGTTGATCGCCATCGCCATCGCCATCGCCGCTGATGGAGCACGCGGCAGGTTGGACGCATATGCCACTCGACAGAAAAGCGTCATCCGACATGGAGCGACTGCCACACTTGTTCCGACATGATTCACTTCAGACAGAGCTTTACGCGCACAAACTCAGCCTTTTGCTTTCAGCGCGCTGGCTGGCCAACCGCAATGCCGCGGAACGCACCAGCCATGAGCCCGTCCGTGGCTGGCTCCAACCCGGCAATTGAGGGCGTCCGTGCCGAAAGAGTCTGGAAAGACTCCGAACCCACGGCTGGGCTGTAGTAGGGCCTTTTCCACGGAAAGCAACTCCCCAAACCCTGCAAACGTTCGCCGCAATACCCTATCTGCCCGCGCTGCTGACGGCAGCGGAAAATGCCGTGTTGGTCGTGGGCGCTTTGCATTTGTCAAAGGCAAAGTTGACGACCCCCAGTGTTGGGCGTGACTGTGTAGTCAGTCGCTAAAGAAGATCTGCAGCTTGTGCAAACTAGACCAACTGTTTTGGTCGCCGACGTGCACAAAGACATGACCGAGCCGCAACATCTCTGTCTGGATATGGCCCCACATATTCTCGAACCACTAAATCCGGGATGGCCCGACAACAGGGTGTGGAGAGCCTAAGCTGCCCCGTGTGAGACGTCGCTGATTGGCCTCACGGCTGTAAAGGTGCCATAGAGTTTGTATCAGAAGGGCACAGTCCTTGGCCGACACTCAAAAAAAACAACGCGAGGGCCATCTTCGCGGTTTGAAAGCGAGCGCATGACGGCCATCGACAAGAAAGGTCGTGGATCCAGCATGCAGCTTCATGGCAACGTTCAAGGCTTATTGCCAACTATCAAGTGCTGCGGCAACGCCAACAGGATATATTCAAAGCCCCGGATATTACGCGCCTTTATCGCATGCATCTCGATGCATTGTCGACTGCGGCTGCTCTCGGTGCTGTCTCGTCTCTACTTACCACGCCAAATGACATGGCAATGGTTAAACAACCCACCACCAATAGCTATCTCACCCACCTCAAAGCCGGGGTCTGCATTAGGGGCGCGGCATCCAAACTCTATAGAGTTAGCACTGTAATCAAATGACTTGGCTCTTTTTTTATGACTTACTAAGTAGCTGGATGATACCCATCCGGTATAGAGCGCTGGTGTTGTGTTTTGGGCGAGCTGGGCAGCCCCTGAGCCATCTCAACCTACACCGTACAACGCGTAGAAATCGTCAAAATATACCAAAAACTCTATCAATTTTGCTTCCCATTATGTAGCTCACCGCCCACGACACTATTTCATTTAACGAGACTGCCCAGCAGCCAATTTACTATACGATCGAGTCCGAGTCCGATGAAGATGGGTCGGTTTAGGAGGGCTGTACTGATTCCGAGCAAGAACTGGAGTCGTCGAGCGACGCCCTCGCCCATGAAGCCGCTCCCCATGAAGCCGCTCCCCATAAAGCTGCTCCCCATATGGTTGTAGCCCATAAAGCTGTAGCCCATGAAGCTGTACAGCCCAAGCCTCCACACCGTGGGCGAAGTACCAAGCGTGCGCCGCGCCGATGGAATCATGGTGAGCTCCGTGGTGTTGTAGAGTGTAATATTAATAGTTTGTGGGAGGCCTCGCTTGTTGATCGTGAGCACCCGCCACCACCAGAAGTTCTATACAACAGCTATAACGAAGCTCTCGATGTGGTTAACAAGTAGGCTGAAGACCATGGTGTTGCGTATGATCAACACGAGAGACGCGGCGAGCCGGCAATTCGAGTTATGATGTGTTGTAACCAACGGGGCTTACCGCGCCCAGGCAAAAAGGTGGCGAAACCAGAATCGCGGCGGGGTGCGTCATCGCAGAAGACGAATTGTAAGATGGGATTTTAGTTGCTTGCAGAGGACTCTACACAACCAGAGGGTCAGTGGAGGGTTAAATTGCAGAAAGATCAGAAGAGCTTTACCCATAATCACCCGCCAGTCAAAGAAAACTTCGCATTTGCTCAGTACCGGAGAGCGACCCGCGAAGCGTTGCCGGAGGAGAGGTTGAAGGAAATTTGGGCGGCATCGCAAGGTCCAAACCATGCGCTGCAGATGGTGCGCGCCGAGTTCCCCACCGTCCAGATGACGCGACAGGACATCAAGAACCAATTCATGGCGTACCACCGTCAAGAACTAGGTTTTGACACAAAAACTGGGTTGCTTTTGAAGGAGTTAGAGCGGGAAAAGTATTGGTTTCGGTAAGTCTCTATCACCAGATTGTTTTGGTGTTGCGAGAATTCGGCCAATTCTGGCGCGCATGGACTCAAAAACGGTCTGTGCGTGCTATCTTATTGGCTTAAATACTCGCGCTAACAACTCACCGCCTGTTAGCGGGAAAATCAAAATATTCTGACGCGTCGCTAGGCATGGGATTGACGCGGAGAACCACATTACGCACCTCTTTTTTATCCACCCACGCTGCCTCGAAAACTTCAAAAAGTCGCCAGATGCGCTTATCGTCGACTGCACGTACAAGACGAACAAATACCGCTTTCCTCTGCTCAATCTCGTTGGTTCAAATGGGTACAACCGCACAATACACCTTGGTGTTGCGCTCATTCGCCACCAAGATGAAGCTTCATTTGCCTGGGTACTACGCCACCTCCAGGCTCTATTTGAGTCGGAGAAAATTACTGTGCGCGTATGGCTAAGCGATCGAGATCAGGCTTTCCTAAACGCTCTCGAAGATGTCTTTGATCGACCCGTGATCATACTCTGTCGGTGGCACCTCAATAAGGATTTTCTGAGCTACCTCCGGCTCAAGCTATCCACCGAATTTGGTCGCGATCGGGTCGGCAACAGGTGGGTAGACAGTGAAGGAACTACCGAGTTCTTCAACCTCTATCTCCGCCTTCTCAACTCGCCGTCAGAAGCCGATTACAACACCAACTTGGCAGCCTGTGAGCAGCGATCAAAGGTTGCAACTGCCTACCTGAAGCGGCACTGGCTAAACAGTTACCGCGACAAGTTAGTGAGTTGTTATATTGATCGCAATACCCATTTCGGCCTCACTGTTACCAGCAAGGCTGAGGGCGCTCATCGCGTTATCAAGCAATGGATAAGAGGCTCTGGTGTTGATATTTTGACTCTTTTTCGACGTCTCCACAGCTTCTATCTCTCTCACAGCATCGCTAACAATCTCGCCAACGCACAGAGCGATGCCAAAATTCGTCACGACACCCAAGATGCTATTTTCAGCGCCACCAGCTTTCGAATAACCCGCTACGCGCTCGCGGAAACGGCAAAACAGCTCGCGAAGGCGAGGGCGGAGTTGAAAAAACTTCATCGCGGAGTCGGTTACAAGCTCCCAGCCTGCACCAATCGGTACACGCCGGCGCTTGGGATGCCGTGTTGGCATCTTCTCGCCGAGCTAGAACTCAACGCCAAGGTGCTCCAGGCATCAGATTTTGATCCACATTGGTGGACTGATCGATCCCAAGCTCCGGAGATTGAAGTTACCCAAACGCCCCTCGAGCCAAAGGCAATTTTGCGGCGAAAACAGCCCAAAAAAACTCAGAAAAAAGGCTCAAGCCAGCGGCGCGAACCGAGCTTTTTTGAGCGCGCAGATGCTAACAATCGGGCAACCCCACCAGCCGCTATACCAGCCCGAATGGCGACCCAGCCGATGGAGCAGATTACTATACTGCCTCCACCGCAGCCTCCGGCACCCGATCACCGCCACCAGGCTCAGCTACAACACCAAGTTTTGGCTGGGATAGCTGCCCCGCAGCTATCCCAGCAGCCTCATGTAGCTCTGCCAGGCTACCAGCCGGGCTACCAGCCAGGTTACCAGCTTCCGCCGCCGCCGCCGCCGCTATACCACCCAGCCGCTCACCCCGCCCACCCGGCCGCCCACCCGATTTTCCAACCACCGCTCGCGTACGGCTCCGCCCACGGAGGCTTCGCGATAGGGCTTCAAAATGGGCCTCCGGGTGCCCGTTTCGGCCACCTCGACCGCCCGGCTGTCGCGCAACATCCCCATCCTCCATACCACTTGCCTCTCCACCCAAATTTACCACCAAACTCGAGTGGCGAAAGGCGCGATGATGATTGGGAGCCCCATTACAGTCAGCCAACGCGATCGTCGTACTACGCCGGCCATAGCTTTTTCGGTGAGTAGCTGGGAGCCCGTTTTGGGCTGGTTTTTGGGCTATATAGAACACCAAAACTTGGGTAATATAGCCAGTTTTTGAGCATCACTTTTCTGCTTCTGCGATTTCTGTTTTGACTGCGCAACACCACCCACTTATTGCTTACATACTAGCTATCTTTGGGCACTTAAGATTACTACTGCACGGCCATACAAGCGTAAGTAATATATAATACCACTAATGATGCAGCCAAGCGCGCTATGCAGGGGCCCCGGCTTCGAAGTGGGTGAGATAGCTATTGGTGGTGGGTTGTTTAACCATTGCCAAATGACATGGGCGCTATCGGGCCGTCAGATCTCCCATATCAAAGGTAAACTGCTATGATCAACGCAGTCAGCTGCGCTCGTCATGTCTGTTTGAATAGAGTTTTCCTCATCCAGAGCGCTATGCTCCAGACACGCCCTAGAATATCTAGAACCCTGCGCATTCGACATTTTTTTCGATAATTCAACAAAGTCGCACCAATGAGCAAAAAAGACATTGCAATCAAATGCACGTCAACTATGGTACTAGCTCGGGCATCGCCATCAACGTTGGCAAGACCCTAGAACCACTGTCTGCCGGTAACTTTCCCATCCACGTTCATGCAAAAAGCCCAGCAGTATGGCTCGGAGTGGCGCGCCTCTTCATAGGTAGGCGCGAAGGGCGGCATTCCGCAGCCTGGGCATCGCATACAGTAGACTGGATCTCAGACCCTTACAAAGATGTTGTCCCAGTCCCAGACACGTTCTTTTTTCGTTCAACGTTCCCTTTTCTCCCCAGAGTTCCTGGGTTCGGGCTTCGTATGTGGCCGAGGTACGCTGCAGCAGCTTCCTCTCGTTCCCGCCAATCGTGCTGTTGGGCGCCTTGCTAGAAAGCGATTTCATCAGCACCTGCGACCCGTTCCGATCGGGCGAAGAGAGACGTAAGAAATGGCACGATGAAGCTGTAAATTCGCCTTGGGGCAGCATCATAGAGTGGCCCTAGTCAAAGTAGCAGGTAAGCGTGCGGGGTTTCGACGCCCATTCCGCCTGCCGCTATGATCTTCAAGGCGCTACGTAGGTGGGCGGCACCGTGTCAAATTCGGCGTCTTAGTTAATTGAGGGGCATTCCAACCCTGTCGCTCAATCCTCGACCCCTGTGTGCTTCCCTGCACTACCGCGGTAGATGAAGGCTAGTATCGATTTGGTCAGTTTAAGGTATTACCGGGCGACCAACTCAGCATCCATATAGGGGGCGCTAGTGCGACGCTTACGACCGTTCCTTTCCCAAGGGCATACGGCAGCGCAGACTACTTCAATCATCTTACCTCTCTTTTTGCTGAGGCTAGACGCTCTCCCCTCCATACCGTCGACAACATGGAGGAGTCGCCAAAATCAACCCGTCGCTCTCATGACACCGACAAGCATGACGGCAACGTGCTCGAGATGGTGTCGGCCAATACACCACACGAAGAGGCCGACAGCCAGAAGCTGACGGACAGCAACGGCGGCAGAGCCCCGGAACGCCATGAGAAGGTAGTCTACCATGTCCGTATACAAAGTCCATACTGACGAGACTTGTAGATGAGTCCCAGGTTGTTTATGACTTTGGTGTGCATGTCTTTTCTCTGGGTCGGTTCTCAAATCCCGCTCTACCTGTTTGGCTCTATCATCACGCTCCTCCAGAAAGACATTGGAGGCGCAGACCGATCTGCCTGGTTTGCCATCGCATATCTCATCCCTCTTGCTTCCGTTTGCCCCTTTGTTGGTGCATTGTCGGATCTCTTTGGGCGACAAAAGGTTGCTATTGTGGGACAGCTGACCTTGATTATTGGACCAATCATCACGGCCACTGCCCACAACATGAACGTTGCTATCGGTAAGTGTGTGGCGCTTGTTTCATGGCTGAAACTAATAAACTCCAGCTGGCCAAGTCTTCTCCGGCGTTGGTGCTGGCCTCAACGAGCTGATCGCACTCGCTGGTACTGGCGAAATTGTTCCAGTCAAGGATCGGGGCAAGTATGTTGGTGGTGTGATCTTGACCATCCTCCCCTTCTGCCCGGCTGTCTTGTGGGCCCAGTTTATTGCCCAAGACAGCAGCTGGCGCTTCAATGGTCTTTTGATCGGCTTGTGGAATTTCGTCGGTCTGGTGCTCTGCATCTTCTGTTACCACGATCCGTCTCGTCTTACCGAGACTTACACCGCCCGCCACGTTCTGCGACAGGTCGATTATGTTGGTGGTTTCTTGAGCGTCACTGGCATTACCCTCTTCATGATGGGTCTACAGTGGGGAGCGTTGCAGGTCAGTAAAAAAAACAGACAGTTTTATCTGGGATAGAGCTGATATGTGACAGTACAAATGGGGAAGTGCCCATAACCTGGGGCCGTTCATAATTGGGTGTGTATTCATCATCGCCTTCTTCGTCTGGGAATTCTACACACCCACCCCCATGGTCCCGCGCAAATTGTTCAGCAAGGCAAAAAGAACAATGACTGTCATCCTCCTTATCACCTTCCTGAGTGGCGGCAATTTCTTCGTCCTGATCATTATGTGGCCAACGGAAATTTACAATCTCTATGGTGAGCAAATTCCCATGGCGCATGCCCGTTCACAACTAAGATGATTCCAGGTGACGATCCCACGGGCGTTGGTCTGCGCTCGCTGCCTATTGGTTTTGGCATCATGGTCGGCGCCTGTCTCTGCCTAGTCCTCATCCCCATCACCAACGGCCGCATTCGCGAACTCATGATTTTCTTCACGGGCCTCATGACGGCCGGATCCGCCTTGATCTCGATAGCGACTCCCCACAACCTTGCCGCAATGTACGTCATTGTCTCGCTCGCAGCTACGGGCATTGGCGCCGTCATCTTCCCCAGTTCGATTATAGCGCAAATCGCATGCCCGGACGAGCTGATTGCAACGGTCACGGCCATCACGCTGAGCATCCGCTACATCGGCGGCGCCATCGGCTACTCGATCTTCACCACGGTGTTTGCGCGCAGAGCCCAGGACTATCTGACCAACATGGTGGGCGTCGACGTGCTCGTAGGAAAACTCGTCGTCAACCCCCTTGCCCCCGGCGGCATCGAAGCCATCACCGTCATCGTAACGGAAATCGCAAACGCCCGCTTCGAGGCCGCCCGCACCTACGTCGAGACCAATCCCGCCGTCCTCAAACACGACGCTTACCCCATGATCCTCGCTGCTGCCCAGGAATCCTTCGCCCTCGCTTACAGATACCCTTACTGGATCTCCATTGCTTTTGGCGTCCCTTGCTTCATTCTTAGCTTCTTCCTTGGAAACATCCGCGCTCACTTGACGTCCAAGATTGCGGTTATCGTGTAGTTGACACGGCGAGGTTTTTTGGGGGTTTGGCTTGTGTGCTTTTTTTTGAGAGAGAGAGAGAGAGACGTTGGGAGAGAGAGACGGTGCTTGTATTAGCACAGAGAAAGAGAGAGAGAGAGAGAGAGCAAGAGATGTGGGTATACTTGGCATACACATAGACAAGTTCCCATCATTTTTGTTCGGTTCAAATTCTAGATATCCCTTGTGTTTATTTTTCTTCTTCTTCTTCTTCTTCTTCTTCTTCTTCTTCTTCTTCTTCTTCTTCTTGGTTACTCCGATTCTTTCTCGAGATAACCCACCACATTTATTAATTTCTTCCTTCACGGGTCTTCACTTTGAGTGATTTCCTTGCTATGCTGTGTGCGCTGAAGTATGCATTATTACGATTATGTATGTACTTATGAACGAACTGATGGTTCCTTTGCATCCGATATTACCAATGACTGAACTAACCAACTGACTACTGAACTAATTAACTGATGAATTGGGCCCTTTTTTTTCCAGCAAAGAGGTATAAATATAATGTATACCAGACCAGACCAGACCAGACCAGACCAGTTCAGCCCAAACCAAACCAAATCAAACCCAAGCAGATAAACTGGGAAATAAAACAGCAGAGAGAAGAAAGAAGGAAAAAGAAGAAATACTTACCGAGAAAAAAAAACAGAAAAAAACAGAAAAACCTCAAGAGCCCAGGGGGGTATAAAACGCCATGTGTAAATGCAAGAAAAATGGCTCGCGATCCACGCGCACGCGTGCGCTCGCCCGCCCGCATTATTGTGATGCAACTTAGCTCGTATGTTAGAAAAGGAAAAGAGAGAAAAGAAAAGAAAAAAGGCAATTTTCGATGAATGCGATGTCGTCGGGTAGACAGACAGACAGATAGGGCATGTCTCCTCGTCTTCTCGTAGGGCCGTAGCACCCCCAAAAAAAGAAGCCGTAAGAAGCCAAGCCCTACTATACATACTAGCAGCAGCAGCGGTGGTCGGAATACCGATTGATGCTTTTCCAATGCGTGCGGAGTATGTATGTATGTATGTATGTATGTGTGTAGGAGATAGCTCGGCTGTGGTGTGGAGCTTCCAGGCACCATAAAGACCAATGTGTCTTGGTGCTATCGCTGTCGTGGATATATGTCGTTGTCATCGACGATGAAGATGAATCTGAGTACAGACACGCTGCTGCTGATGCATACTGGATACACAGCCATACGCGTCGTAACAGCAACAGCAGTAGAGTGCCATAGTACCCGTCGCCGTACCCGCAGCAGTCGCGGTAGAATACCCGTAATGTAATAGCATGTTGTTAATGAGTCGTGCAGGAGAAAGGGCCGCAGAGCGTATCGAGGAGTCAGCCCAGGTACGGTAGGTCGGCTCCCATGGTCGGGGCCTCTGCGGAGTCTGACAGGTTGGAGTGTACAGTGGGCGTGGGGATAAATTTGCCGGTGGGAAGGGGAGAAGGGGAGCGGCGGGTACATAGGCGGTGTGGTGGTGGTAGCGATAGGTTCGTGTTGTTCGTATTTTTGGGGGTTGCGGGTGTGTGCTGACGCGGAGGGCGGCGACGAGGCTGGATGCGGGTTGTGGGCTATTTTGGGACGAGGGTCTGGTACACGCGTGTATTTTCGGTCTTGCTGTCGCTATCGTCGCTGTGCGCAACGGATTGGGTGTTATAGATTAGCGGGGCGCGTGGTCCGTTGTTGGATTTGCCGTACTCGCGATTAGTCGGCATCATTTCTACAGAGTCTCCGTCTTCGTCGAGGTCATCGATGGCTGGGTGGTGCGCGCTGGCTGCACCGAGCTCGTCAAGCGCATCCATAGAGTCGACGCGCGCGGCCGGCTTAGGACGAACCGACGCCTCGGTGGATTGCGTCTGCCAGTCGCATTCGTCAATGTAGTCGTCCATGAGGGGCGAGACGGGTGGCGAAGAAGAAATGTATCCTTCATCTGGGGTAGCATGTTCGTAGTCTCCGCTGAAAACGACGTCGTTGAAATCGAGCTCTTCGTTGTAACGTGATGCTTCAGGTTGTCGCACACTGGGTAACATGGCCGAACTGTCAACGTCGTCGGGTGTATCGCTCTTCTCCCAGGAATCAATCGACGTCGCGTCCTCGTCATCCGAGTCCTCGCCATCCTCTTCTTGTTGCGTCTTCCACATCTTGATCAACTCGGCGAGCTCGTCTTTCGAAAAATGCTCGTGAGCAGGAAGCTTGTCGAGCTTTACATGGGCGTTCGCGTCTCGTCCAGCCTCTTGACGAGAAATGTTAAACACCGGTGCTTGGAAATCCACCTCTTCTGGGTCGTGGTCAATGTCGACATGTACCAAGACCTCTTCTTGACGCTCCTCATTACGCTTCTTCTCTTCATCCATCAGATGCGCCTCTTCAATTGCTGTAACGACAACGAGCGGAGAATGGCGATAAACCTCTGCGTTTCTCTTGCCATTGGCGTACTTTTCAGCGCGAAAAGCTCGCGCGTATCTATACCGCTGGTCCCCGTAAGAGCTTAGTTCAGGATAGGCGGGCGCGTCTGCTTCCTCTTTGCCGTCATAGTACGGACCAATGGCGTGAATGAGATATTCATGGCGTGCAGAAGCAATCTGTTCCTCTAGGATATAGTTGACCATGGTCATGTACGCGTTCTCAAAAGGTGCTTGGTCGTCGCCTTCCGGGCTGGATGAGTAGTGTGCACCGTCTGCGGCGACAATGGGCCACTCGTTGGCGTCCATGTCGTTGATGCTCAGCGTATCGGCGTCACTCCAGTAGGTGAGGTCGGGGTCGGCGCAATCCGCATCGTCGTCTTCTTCTCCGGCCTTGTCTGGCTCCTCACGAGGAAACAGTTGGAGCGGGCCGAGGTCCTCGACACTGGGTAACGAAGTATCCACAGTGGCCTTCCAAGTGTCGAGATCAAAGTCGTCTTCGTCGTCGTCGTCCCAGTTGAACTTCCGGTCGTTGCCGGCAGCGACCGTAGCAGGAGCCATGTTTTGTTTCAGAAGGGAATTTTTTTGTTGTTTGTGCGCGTGTGTTTTTGGATGCAGCGAGTGGAGTGGGCTGGGGAGGTGGGAAAGCAGCCAAAGCGGACTAGACGTCAGGTAAAGAACAGGTCCGCGCCGCGCGGTGAAAAGAACAAGCCCAGCCCCCCAACGCCAGACCAGGCAATTCTTATCGTGAGCGCGCGTGCGTGCGTGCGAGACACGGTGAGAAGGAGGCCGGCCCCGGGGGCGTCAACCAAGGTTCGCTGCTGCCATTACTGCAACTGCTGGGCCGATCGTGAAGTCTCGACGCGGCGAGAGAATGCCTCGGCATGGCGCCGGGCCTGCCGATGCAAGGCACCGAAGCCGGCAAACATGGCTCGCGAACGGGCGTTTTGCCTTTTGTCGCACATGTGATTTGCTGGGCCTTTTCTATATTTGATTCTAGCGGCGCTTTTTGTTGCCTTCCGCCGTCTGTGCGGCCTTACCGGCGCATTTGCGATCCTCACCATCGCTTCAGACGCTGCTCACACTCGTCCAAGTCCCCCCCGCCCGCCCCCTACTTACATCATGCCTCATCATGGTGCGTGTGCCTGCAAACACGTTGCGACAGTGACTGGCGCTGCTTGTCGCCACGTCCACGGCTGTTTGCCCGCCAGCGAGAGACAGTGGTGATTGCGGCGGCGCGAACGGCGACCCAAAGGGCTGCGCTCACTGACGCCACAGGCCTTTGCTCGATTTTTCTTCAAGGCCCCCACGGGCCCCATTTCATTTCCCGTGTAAGAACTTATCGGCGCACGTTCCATAGTTGCCATAGCCCAAAAGCTTGGGCGCCAAGGCTCTTTCGAACCGTGGATTGGGGCATTGGTGATGGAGAGCACATGGCCATCGGTTGGGGTGCGTCGCGGCGAGGGCACACACTGTCTGGGGAAACGGCTCCACCACGGCTATGGGGACACCAGCATCAATCGACGCGTCGCTGGCCGTCTGGAAACATACGACATGTCTACACGACAGGCCTTCATGCCACGTCCCATCTTGCTTGTCAGCGGTCCTGTGGCATCTCAGGGTCGTCGTTAGCGAATGCTGGGCGCTCGGCAATCTGGTTCCATCGATCGCACAATGACGTCGCCCTCACCAACATGCTGTCTGCGCTCGGATGGGGTCGAATGCGGTCCAACAGGCCATGAACCACTCTCCCGCCCCCGTTCGGAGAAGCTGGCGTGTGAACAGACAGGCACACAGCAAGTCGTCTTGTGGCACATGAGCCAGAAATTTCCGCCGAGAACATATGGACCATCATGTTCGACATTGACAGCCTCAAGGCACCATATCAAACACATGTGCCATGGCAGCCTCGCCATCTGCCACCCGCTTACCTCACGCCGTGGATCTTCGGTGATTTCTCGAGAGCGAACAGAGCTTCCCTTGAATCGGCTCCCGAATGGCTCTGATGTCGTCATGTGTCCATAGCGGCAGCTCCGGAGCCCCTGTATGATCTTCCACCATTACTGTGCCAAAGAACCTAATCGATCGGAATCGGTGCCTGCCCGTATATACTCCCCGCCGAGATTGCGTCGGGGTGCATACGTGCATCGTGTACCCTTGGTAGGATGGATGATCAACTGCGTCGTGCCGCATATGCAAATCACTGTCTGTGAATCAGCAAGCTCCTTGTGCATCGCAGAAATACCAGGACAGACGAGGAGATGCCGCTTAGCATGAACAATTCTTTCAGCAACCATGGAATTCGTATTACCGCATTGATATGTCATATGCTGATGGCCTATTTCTATGTACACGTCGTCGCCAAGTCTACTGGCCAGTGGGTTTGCGGTGCATGACTGTGGCCGCTGCCTGCATCATGTTAGCATACTCGTCTCTCCGCTTGCATATCTCAATGCACTCACCTGGTGGTTCGGGAAAATCAAAGTATCGGCGATGACTACATTCTCCCTTCGGCCTGCAGCAAACACAACCACCTCGGCGATATCGTCCGGCGTCAATGGCTCCACGCCTTCATAGACCTTCTTCGCCTTTTCTTTGTCTCCGCCAAACCTCACAACACTGAATTCCGTCTCGACCTGGCCCGGGTCAATCTCAATCACTCGTATCCTCGTCGCTATCAGTTCCCTGCGCATAGCATCTGTGAAGCTGCGGACCGCAGCTTTGCTTGCGCAGTAGATGGATCCGCCCTGGTACGGCTCACGCCCAGCAATGGAACCAATGTTGATAATGTCGCCCGATGGGGTCGGGCGGGCCTTGAAAATCGGGAGGATCGCCTGCGTCATGTTGATTAGGCCTGTCACGTTTGTGCTAAACATGACATCGATGTCGGCTGGCGAAATGTCGGGCGCCTGAGCAAGGCCTTTTACCAGTCCCCTGAGTTCGTGTTAGCTGCGTACAACAGATTGCCGTCCCTATGAAGTGGCGCACGCGTTGTTGACCAAGATGTCAATGTCCTTGAACTCTTGCGGAAGGTTGCCGACAAAACTGCTGACTTGCTCAGGCTTGCTGACATCCATCTTGACGGGTAGAACCTGGACGCCCTTTGCAAAGCCACCAATCTCTTGCGCAAGCTCCTTCAGCGAGTCTTCCCGTCGTGCCGTCAGGATGAGCTTCAGGTCGTCTGGCTGTGTGCGCGCAAATTCGAGTGCTGTTGACCTGCCAATTCCAGACGACGCGCCCGTGATGACAACTGTCTTGCCCTTTAGGCGCTCTGCCATCTTTGTCGACATTTTAGCCGCGTGCTGGAGGTAGAGTGGTGGTAGCTGTGTACTGCAGGGAGCGGTGCGGGGTCGTAGTAACGCTCGGGCAAAGGTGGCAGCGGTGCGGAACAAGAGGCGAGATGACGGCAGGGCAGGCATCTAAGTCGCAATGCTTTATAAGACAGCAATTGGTAGTTGCAAGAGCGTCGTCTGGTGACGCGGCCGGATATAATCATCATGGCTACCGGCGGCAATCCCGAGGCTGCGCGAGTCAGAAACAGTTCATGGAGGGGTAAGCTCAATCGCAATGTGGGGAGCTCTGCATCACGTCAACATAGCTTGAGCCGCATCACTGCACACCTGCATGGACAAGACTGCGTGTCCGAAGATATCTTCATTCATGCCTCAGCCGTATTCCAGGCTTCCGTCGAGACGTTTCATCGTCAATCCGTATCATGTCATTAGATGCCTCCAACTCCAGCCACGCGCCTTGAAATGTGCGGGTATATCGAAATGCGCATGCGCAACAAAAAGCTTAGGCAGCGCCCTTCTTCTTGAGCATCGCCTCGTCCTCTTCCCTCAGCTCTTGGTCGATCTTGGCGCCCTTGGATGGCTCGTTGCCGTGTGAGCGTGCGGGCAGGGTAGCGTCCTTCTTGCTCTGCTGGCTCTCAAGAGACTCGTCCTCGCCCTCCTTCTCGCGCTTCTCCTCACGCTCCAGCTTGTTGGCAATTGTTCGCTCGTCCTCTGTCGGCCATGGTTAGGACATTTCGTCACATTTGTGCTAGGGTTTTGGAGTCGTTGCGCCGCGCGGCAACAAGCACACCTAAACATGGGGACCATGCAGGGACAACATACTGGAGTCGAGAGCCTTGTGCGCGTTCTCCTGGCCCTCGTGGAAGCGGTTCTCCTTCTTCTCCTGCTCAATCTCAGAGTTGGGCTTGTTGACCTGGTCGCCAGCCTCATAGACGGCCGCGGTGCCAACGCTAGAGTTTCCAGACATGATGAGTATGGGAATGTGTGAGGCTTGGGAATGGGTTTGGTGATTGTAAAAGAGGTGGCTGTGGAGTTTCTTGATGCTGTCTGAATGAGCGCTTCCCCTCTCTTATGTATCTCATGAAGCGTCTGTTGTGCGCGCAAAGACTAACACAGCGATGACGTAGTGACAAGGTGATATCATCGGTGGGGACAAAAACGCATGTTTTGGGCATCAAATGCGATGCTGATGACATGCATGGCCCATTTGGTGCCTGGGTTCTCCATTTGCTTGTGGCCGTCATGGCGTGGTCGTGTGCTTTGCCCGAGCTTGGTGCCATTGCAAAGTCTTGAAGGCGCTCGCTTTCGTCATTTTACCCACATCTACACGTCTTCGCAAGGCACGGACAGCCATCTCCATCACCACATGCGGAGCACCATCACAGCTGAACACGGCGTACAAGAGCATCTGAGAAAAATAACTACTCTGATATCATCCAAGAAACACAACACTCAGGCAAAGCTCCTTTTCTGCAGCCACCTATCCACAAGCGCCAACGCCTCCTTGGGCTTATCAAAGGGTACGAGATGCCCCGCTCCATCGACCGTGGTAAAAGCAAAAGTCGTCTCTCTCCCGCTTGCAGTCTTCGTCTTGACTTCCTTGAACCAGCCCACTTCTTCTCCCTCGTTCGTCCACATGCGCTTCGGCTGCGCGACAAAAGCAGGCTGTCCTTTCCAGGGCATGGTGCTTGCCCACTGTAGGTTGCCTGCAGTGTTGCAAACAAGATCAAGGTTTCCCTGGTAAAACATCACATCAATGCCGTGCTCGAGAAGATACTGCACTTGTGGCTGCATGCTGAGAACCCCGTCTCCCGTCAAGGCAAACGCCCACGCAACGGCTCCTGAGATGACTGAAAATTTGCCTGCAGCCTTGGGCACGTTAAGAGCCTGCCGAACCGGCAGCGAACTCATGTACTTCTGGATTCTTTGGATCTCAAAATAACACAAATCATCCTTGGTCTCGCAGCCGCGCGTGATGTCGTAGGGATTGCGTCCACCTTTGCCGGATTCGTCGTCGTAGTACAAAAGAACTCCTTTGTCGCATACCTTTTGAGCCGCGATGCAAATGGCCGGATCCGGGTGGTCGTAGCACACTTTGGTAAGCTCCATGCAGCGAGGTAGGTGTTCGGCCATGATATCGCAGCGAGTCTGGTTGAAGACGGGCTTGTCAACGCCGGGGTTTGTTGTACAAAGCGTCTCCCAGTAGCCAAACGTAGTGTCCTTGGGCGAGACATATGCATTGCCAGTAAAGGTTGATTTGAGATTGACTTGCGGTCGCTTGGGATACAAGAGGTTCTGAGATACAATTTGCGCCCCAAGTGCCGGGACGTAGTGGCCCTGGGACGATCAGCTCGTGCACTCTGCCAAGGGCTGATGAACTTACTGCATAGCTTTCTCCAGTAATGTGGAATTCCCTTTCAAGAAGGCTGGGGAAGACGTCGCTGGTGAAAAGTTGGAGGAAATGATGCATGTCCTCCGCTGCCGTAAAGCTCGTCGCCGGAACCGGGATGCCTTGGTCCACATAGCTGAAGCCTACGCCAGCCGGCTGGTCGACAAAAATAATGTTTGCATTCTTGCTCCATCCATATTCGTTGTACACCGTACCGTTGCCGTGTTCGTTGATCATGCATGGTCCTAGTTCACCCATCAAGCCGAGCATACCAGAGCCACCGGGGCCTCCTGTCAGCCATAGCAGCAGCGGGTCTTCAGACGGCTTGTTCTGCGACTCAAAGTACCAGAAGAAGATGTGCTTCGAGCCGACATCTAGCCAGCCGGTATACTGTTTGGAACGTGCATCACAGATGGAGTTGTCTTGCTGCTCTCGGATGCGGATGGAATGGTGCTCGGAGAACTGGCTCTGGTATACCTGGAAGCCCTCGACGTCCAGCGTCTCCTGGAAGGGCACCTGTGACAGTGACAATACAGGCGTAGTTGCAGCGAGCAGATTAACAATAGAAAGCTTCATGATTGGGATGCACCCGCGGGGTGCCGTGATAAGCAGGAATAAAGAGGTCCGATTCAAGACAGGATGATAGAACAGGAATGGCCCAAGATCAATCCCCGTGGCAGGATATGGAACGGAAAGGGTGTGTGACTATAAGCAGCAAGCCAGTACCTTTGAAGAGATAGAGTGAAGGATGGCTGGCGTCTGCAAGTGAGTGGCGGGTGCCCCTGGGCCCGTGATGGCGGCCGCAGCAACTGGGTGATCGTCGACAAGGGTGCAGGCACTTGACCTTCACGAACCTCTTCGCAACCACCACCGCACGCGACTACGAACCTGGCCGGACCTTTTTGCGCGACTTGACCGTGTCAACTAACCGCTTGGACAGAAAGCATCGGGCTTGTCTTCTTGAGATATTCGCTGGGAACGCGCATTGGCCAACAAGCCGCCTCCATTTGCAGCGCATACAGCCAGAGCGAGCCTCTCCTTCGCCATGCCCTACAACAACACGCCGATTGCGCCAAACAAGGAAATAACCGGCCATGTGTCGCTTCCTCGTAAGTAATGTATCCGCATGTGGCTGAATTCCACAACGGCATACCGCAACACCAGGCTATTCTACAGCACTAACTCGCTTCCCAGTGGCACGCGTGCAAAAGATAATCCAAGCGGATCCTGAACGCATCACAACATCCAAGAATGCCGCCTTTGCCATCGCACTCGCTACCGAGATGTTCATCCAGCACCTTGCGACCACCACTCACAACGTTGTCAAGGCCGAGCGCAAGCCCCGCCGCAACATTCAGTATCGCGATGTCAGCAATGCCGTAGCCAAAACCGACAACCTGGAGTTTCTGGTCGATGTCGCACCCAAGACGGCCACGTGGGGTATGGTGAAGAAGAAGATTGAGGAGAAGGAAAAGGAGGATGCGAAGAGGAAAGAAAAAGAGGTCAAGAAAGACACGGTTGCCAACGGCCAGACAACACTGGGTGCGGCCGCAGAGACCGTCGAGCCCGAGGGAGCGGACAAGGGAGACACGGCTGCAAACGGCACTACTGCTTCTTCGCCGCTGCCCAACAAACAAGAACAGGCGCCCGATGCAATGGAAGTCGACCAGGAGCCAAGCCGCGTTGCAGAGAGCGAGCCAGAGGAAGAAGACGCCGCGGCCATGCAAATCGAGATGGAGATGCGCGGCCCGCCACGCCAGCCCAGCGAGAGCGAGACCAAGAATGCCACTCCTCCAGCCAGGCGGTCGACGGGGTTCACGGCTATCAACGGCTCCAAGTAATTTGTACTGGCCAGCAGAGATGAAGATGCGGGGTTGGAAAGGAGACATGTTTGCATTGCATATGGCGTTCAGGAACATATACCATGCCAAGGGCGGTTGACTGCTTGACAGAGGTTGACACAGGTGTTGGCCGTAGTCAAGGCAAAGAATTAGACATGATATTATCCCATTGCGAGCCAGGTCGCAGATATTAAGATTGCATCGTCTAGTGATGCTGAACCAGACCCGAATCCTCGAGATTTCCGCGCGCCCATAACTCCGCTTATGCTGAATGTTATCTCGACCATCTCGAAGTCCATACTGCGATGGGGCTAGCAGACAGGTCACTCGTACGAACCACCCTCCATTCGTACTCAAGCATCCTTCGGGTTCCACACTTCCACTCTATCTATCCACCCCTCCCTGACCACAATCCCTCTCAACACGACCTCCGTCCGTAACCACGGCACCCCAAACTTGCCACTATTAATCCTACACATCCTCACCCCGCTGATCGCCTGCTCGCCCGCCAACTGCGCCAACGCCAAGCACGCCTCCATCGCACGCCCCGTATTCTGCAGTATCTCCGCGACGCTATCTTTGCGCTTTCCGTACTGGCGGCTCGTAAACAGGCACCCGATCCAGTGGCCCTCGGCTCCGTCCACCGGCGGAATCAACAGCGTCGTACCGACCGGAACGGGGTTCCCGCCTTTGAACGAGTGCTCTGTGGTGCAGAAATCGTGGTAGATCGCGTACGCTTTGGGGTACTGCTGCTTGAATGCCAGCGCGATGCCTGCGCCCCACGATCCTTGCGTGTTGCACGCGTGCAAGAGCAGCGTGCCTGGTGGCGCGTCAAAGAGAGACCCGGTGCGGAGGGTTAAGTCGAGAGTCTTGGGAGCTGGCGAAGACGGAATTGCAGTGTCGGTTGTGGGAAGGTCTTTGTAGGAGAGCGGTTTCGGTGATGGTGGTGGCGGCGGTGGCGTCAGCGTCTTTGTGTCTTGTCGTTTGGAGGGTGGGGAAGCAGGTGAGGTTGATGCTCGTCTTTTGGCTTTTGGCTTGTCTTGGGGTGTCGATGGGGTGGGTGCTCGAGGCTCTTCCGTGATATCATCGCTGGAATCCTTGGGTCTTGGCTTGTCTGGTTCTCCGTCTTTTGGCTTGAAGTACGAAGTAATGGCGGCGTTTTTGTTGGGAGACATGGTGGCGGCGGATCCAGAGACTCTTGTGATGGTATGGAATCTGGTAGCTAGTAGCACTGGCACTGAAGTTGAAGCTCTGGGTTTAACACCGAGTATCAGTTGTGGGAGGCGTAACCTTGAGTGTGAGGGGCGCAAAGGGAGGGTAGAAGTTGGTTGGTTGATTAGGGTCCAGGCACGGCAGGGCAGACCTAGGGGCCAGATAGATGCCAAGTCTTTATATTTCACATACGAGTGCAAACTATGGCCCGCACGGCGAGAGGGATGGAGGCGTAGCGATGAGCCTTGGTTAGCCAATATGGTTGCCATGACAGTCCATACCAAAAAAGATAGCAACCATACATTTGAACTTCGTTGTTCGCTATGCGGAGTTTTTATTTCAATCTCGTCAGCAGGCATTGGTCGAGCCGGAAAGGCTGGTAGATATCAGCGGCCGTATTCGGGCAATGACGCTGGGATGGTGTTCGCCTGCCACGGGAGCGTCTGGCCAATCACAAGACACCTGACATAACGCTCCCTGGCAGAGCGGCCAAAACTTCAACATCGTCAACCCAAGCTCTTCTCCATCAACGACCACGACCCCCGCCCACTCGCGTCCACGATGCCCGCTCTCGCCAACACCGCCCGTGCCGTCGCACGCTCATGGACCGCCCACCAATTGCCCGTTGCCCGCGCGGCCGGGTGCACCGCCATGCAGACCCGCAACGCCTCGGCTTCTTCGTTCGATAGCCCTTTCAAGGGCACCCCCGAGACGACCAAGATCCCCTCGTTCGCTGCGTACAGGAATAAGGGTGGCGAGACAGGACCCAAGGTATTCCAGTACTTCATGGTCGGAACCATGGGTGCGCTGAGTGCGCTTGGCGCGAAGGCGACCGTACAGGGTAGGTCACCAGCATTGCGATAGCCCAATGGAGAGACGGAAACTACTGGGGCGAGTTGATATGGCGTGTCTGAAGTTGGGCGAGAGCAATTGGCTAGTTTGCGGATGATATGCGACCTGGAGCTGATGGACAAGCGGTCGGCTAACGGATTCGCTCAACAGACTTCCTCGTCAACATGTCGGCTTCCGCCGATGTTTTGGCCCAGGCCAAGGTTGAAATCGACCTCGCTGCCATTCCCGAGGGCAAGAACGTACGTCCCGCGCTACTGCACGTGTTCTCCGAAGAGCGGAAGCTGATGAGATCAGGTCATTATCAAGTGGCGAGGCAAGCCTGTCTTCATCCGACACCGTACCGAGGATGAGATCACGGAGGCCGAGAACACCAAGTGGGAGTCTCTCCGTGACCCCCAGCCTGACTCTGCCCGTGTCCAGAAGCCCGAATGGTTGATCATGTTGGGTACGTCACAGCGCAAACAGCACAATTGGGGTGGGAGTTAACAGCAACAGGTGTCTGCACCCATCTGGGATGTGTCCCCATTGGCGAGGCCGGTGACTTTGGAGGCTGGTTCTGCCCCTGCCACGGTTCCCACTACGACATCTCTGGCCGCATAAGAAAGGGACCTGCCCCGCTCAACCTCGAGATTCCCGCATACGACTTCCCCGAGGAGGGCAAGGTTGTCATTGGTTAAGCGGAGCCATTATGAAGCAGTGAGGTGCATGGATGTTGAGACTTGTGTGTGTATAGGAGCGAGCATCACCAATTTTCCTACGGTTTGATTCACATAGATTCGGCTTGTGTCCTTGCAATGTAACACCAGTTAGAGTCACCATTTGCGTTTATTGGGGTATTGCAGATATGGCTGTGACCCTCTTCCAGGTGTACATTACAGTAATCGCAGCAGCTCGCGCTCTATTCGTGTGGGATGAATTGCGCACCAATTTCACATGGCCACATCCTCTCTTACTGGCCGTTCAAAAAGTTCTTGATAGCCTCGACAGCACCCTGGAACTTGTCCGCCTCGATCAACACCATGTGTCCTTTGGGCTTGACTCCCATTTCCTGAAACGCTCTCTTACTATCACTTGCGCCTTCGTCCACTGGCGTGTCATACTCAAAGCTTGTGTACCCAACGGCATGCTTGTGCAGCACCTCGTCCTCGGGATGGAAATAAAATGTTTCCTGGCCAACGTCGGCCTTTTTGTTCTTCTTCTTGCTCGGCGGCGCGTCTCCGCTCGGTAACTGCGACTGGATTTCCGAATAGCATTTTGAGAGCACGAGGTAGTGGGTAAATGTGTACGGTTCCTTTTCTTCAACTGCCCACTGGATCTCCTCAAGCAACATTGTGTACATTGGAGGGACGACCTCGTGCGGCATGTTTATGAAGCGCTCCGTCAGAATGAGGCCGACTTGCGCAGTTGAGGATTCCGAGAGTAGCGGTGGGAGAGCTGGGATTGAAGTAGCTTTTTTGGAAAGATAGCATGTCAAGTCGCGAATGACTTGCTTGTCCTACGGCACTTTAGCAGGCGGTCTGGAGTCTGTCGAGGGGCTGGGAATTATGCGCACCTTGTGTGTTTGCAGGTTCAAGACTGTAAGGAAAGCATACGGGTCCGTTTCATTGCCGTCCACCTTGACGGTACTGCCCAGGAGTGGTTGCGACAATATGAGGTCGGCGAGTTCTGAGAGGTTGAATAATTGCGCATCGACATCGAGGAGCTGGCGCATGAGATTCTTGAGCCCGTGGAAGTCTACAGCCGGCTGTGGATCGAACCATTCGAAATCGACATTGACTATATCCATTTCCTAGCATACGGCCGTCAGCTGGCTGCATAGCAGGGCGAAATTGAACGAAGCGCATACCTCATCGCTGCCAGAGTCGTCGTCGTCTTGCTGCGGGCGCTTCTCCGAAGCATCGGGCAGCTCTTCGGGATCTCTCTCCGACTTTCTCTTCGCCATTGGGTGCTCGGTTATATGTCACACGTGTGTATGTAGCGAAAGCAAGCTGGGACGGGTGGAGAATTCGAGCGACGCGACTTTCGCGCTGCGGCGGCGCTATCGATACGTAGCGAAATTTTGGGCCCCGCCAAAATTTGCGAGAGTCACGGAACACCCCTCCTCCTACGGCCTTGTTTCCTTCCCCAATTCCCCCGTCTTTTTTGTCCCTTTTTTTTTCTCTCTTTCTCCTTCTCACCACTTTCTTTCACACTCAATTTACAACCTTTTCAGGTGTACATACTCTTTCAAAATGGCGACCGACAACGCGGACCCAATTCCTCCCTGCAAGACGTTCGATACCATCTTGGTTCTCGACTTCGGCTCGCAGTATACGCATCTGATCACGCGCCGACTCCGCGAGCTCAACATTTACTCTGAGATGCTGCCATGCACGACCAAGATTGCCGACCTGCCATTTACGCCCAAGGGTATTATTCTCTCGGGCGGCCCATACTCTGTCTACGAGGAAGGCGCACCCCACGTAGACCACGCAGTCTTCGATCTCGGCGTCCCGATTCTGGGGATATGCTACGGACTGCAAGAAATGGCATGGCACTTTGGCAAGAATGCTGGAGTTGCCGCGGGCGAGAAGAGAGAATACGGACACGCAAACTTGCAGATTGAGAGCCACGGTGGGCACATGGATGAACTGTTCAAGGACTTGGGCAACGAGCTGGAAGTCTGGATGAGTCACGGTGACAAACTCAGCCATATGCCTCAGGACTTCATGACTGTTGCGACTACAAGCAACGCGCCCTTTGCGGGCATTGCGCACAAGACGAACAAGTACTACGGAATCCAGTTTCACCCTGAGGTCACACACACGAAGAAGGGAAAGACTGTGCTGAAGAACTTTGCCGTCGACATCTGTCAGGCGAACACAAACTGGACCATGAGCAAATTTGTAGACCAGGAGATTACGCGCATCAGGAAGCTGGTGGGCGAAAAGGGACAGGTCATCGGCGCTGTCAGCGGAGGCGTCGACTCGACCGTTGCGGCAAAGCTGATGAAGGAAGCCATTGGCGACCGGTTCCACGCCGTCATGGTAGACAATGGTGTGCTGCGTCTCAACGAGGCTGTGCAGGTCAAGAAGACGCTGGACGAAGGCCTGGGCATCAACCTCACAGTCATTGATGCGTCTGACCTTTTCCTCGACCGTCTCAAGGGCGTCACCGACGACCCGGAGAAAAAGCGCAAGATCATCGGCAACACCTTCATTGAGGTGTTCCAGCAGCAAGCCGAGAAGATCAAGGCAGAGGCTCACGCTTCCAGCGAGGCTGGCGAGATTGAATGGCTCCTCCAGGGTACCCTCTACCCTGACGTCATCGAGTCTCTCTCGTTCAAGGGCCCCTCTCAGACCATCAAGACACACCACAACGTTGGTGGTCTCCCCAAGGACATGAAGCTTAAGGTCATCGAACCACTCCGCGAGCTCTTCAAGGACGAGGTCCGTGAACTGGGCAAGGAACTCGGTATCCCGGAAGAGCTCGTCTGGCGCCACCCGTTCCCTGGCCCAGGTATCGCCATCCGTATCCTGGGCGAGGTCACGCGCGAGCAAGTCCGTATTGCGCGCGAAGCCGACTACATCTTCATTGAGGAGATCAAGGCCGCTGGTCTTTACAGGAATATCAGCCAGGCGTTTGCGGCGCTTCTGCCTGTCAAGGCAGTTGGTGTCATGGGCGACAAGCGTGTCCATGACCAGGTGATTGCACTGAGGGCTGTCGAGACATCCGACTTTATGACGGCAGACTGGTATCCGTTTGACGGCGAGTTCCTCAAGAGGGTGAGCAGGAGAATTGTGAATGAGGTTAATGGTGTTTGCCGAGTGGTTTATGACAGTAAGTTTGCTTTTGCCGTCCATAATGCCGTGGAATGTTGGCTAACTCTGATCAGTCACAAGTAAGCCTCCGGGCACGATTGAGATGGAGTAAGTGTACATTCATCCCGGCTCTAGTGCTTTGCCAGAGGACGGTGTGAAAGGCAGACACTTGTGAATACAAAAGATGACTGGACTTGGATGTGACCAAACGATAGATGATAGACGCCCTTTGATGATACCCTCGCATGGCTACGATTACGTAGCTAAATATGACATTTTACGACCACATACTGAAGTGCTGCCGGATTGCTCGGTGTGAGCTGTGTGACACGTGGGTGGTGCTATGCCATTTTTCGAATGTGTGTCTGTGATGTTTTTTGTAGTATGGGCAGTATGTTTACACGCTTTCTTGGCATGATACTGCTTGAATCGCGGGCAGTTGATTTTGCTGTCAGTTGATTATTCGCATTAGTGAGATAGTCAATTGTACACGTTGTTCAGTTTGGTAGCTCAACCATAGCTTGTCATAACAATATAACATATCGTAATTTGAGCAACACAGATATTTTCATTGAACAGGGAATAAACAAAAGAAAAAAAATCTTCCAGTGTTTAATTGTCATGATATTGCATGGCGACAAGCCTTCGTGGCCGCGGGGTTGCTATGTGGACCTGTGCAATGACAACATCGGACTCCCGATAAGACGGCTTCAGGGTCGGGGTGCTGGACCCTTGCATAAGCCCAAGACGACGCCCCGTCTCTCTCGCAACACCAAGACACTACCTTGCATTCATTCTTTTGCGCCGATACGGAAAAGACAGAGCATATTTACGACGATGCGATGAATCGATTCGAGTCCACTGGCGAACGCGGCCAAGTCTCCTCATCAGCATCTGCCTCGCAGCCGTCAGCCCACGTAGACTTCTCCTCGCAGGCCACGATACAGCATTCACGGCCAGGCCGAGCGCAGTCGACGCGTCGCCAGTCGTCGCGCTCCAGCCAGCATGCACATTCGGCTTCTTTGACGCCCTCTATCCGCCGGCGCACAACCGGGCAATCGCTGCTTTCGCTCGACATCAACGACGAGGATCCCGAGGCCGCAGAGCATACGACGGCCGATGCCGCCATAGTCGAGGAGATAGCCGAGATCAAGCGCTACGAAGACTTTACAACTATAGACTGGGTGCAGGATGCGGCGCGCGAACAGCTGCGGCGGAAGGCGCGCCGGCGGCAAAGAGACAGCATAGGCATGCGCAAGGACGGTGGCAGCAACATGGTGTTTCTAGAGCGTGGCAGGGGCAAGTGGCGGAGGAAGATTGCAGAGGCCTACGATGCGGGTCAGGCCTGGATTGTCGTTACGCTTGTGGGAGCGGCCATTGGGCTCAACGCTGCGTTTCTGAACATCATTACCGAGTGGCTCAGTGATATCAAGCTGGGACATTGCACTACGGCGTTTTACCTCAACGAGCACTTTTGCTGCTGGGGCGCCGAGAGCGGGTGCCACGAGTGGAAGCCCTGGACGGGTTTTTGGCCGGCAAACTATGTCCTCTATCTTCTCTGGGCGGCGCTGTTCTCCTTTACGGCTGCTAGGCTGGTCAAGAGCTTCGCGCCGTATGCGGCTGGATCGGGCATCTCGGAGATGAAATGCATCATTGCGGGGTTCGTCATGAAGGGCTTCTTGGGCTTCACGACACTCCTTATCAAGTCTATTGGGCTGCCGATGGCCATTGCCTCTGGACTGTCGGTGGGCAAGGAGGGGCCCAGTGTGCATTACGCTGTTTGTACGGGCAATGTGATTAGCAGGTTCTTCGACAAGTACAGGAGGAATGCGGCCAAGACAAGGGAGATCTTGAGTGCGAGCGCGGCGGCTGGTGTGGGCGTGGCGTTTGGCAGTCCGATTGGAGGAGTGCTGTTTAGTCTGGAGGAGATGAGCAACCAGTTCCCGCTCAAGACGCTCTGGAGGAGTTATTTTTGTGCGCTGGTTGCTACGGCTGTTCTCGCTGTAAGCATTCTGTTATTCTCTATTCCATCGGGGACGAGACTGATCACAGCTACTACAGGCCATGAACCCCTTTCGTACCGGCCAGCTAGTCATGTTCAACGTCTCGTACGATCACTCGTGGCACTTTTTCGAGGTCATCTTTTACATCATCATCGGCGTGTTTGGTGGTCTCTACGGTGCCTTTGTCATGAAGTGGAACCTCAAGATGCAGGTCTTCCGCAAAAAATACCTTGCCGCATACCCGATTACCGAGGCCGTCACGCTCGCCGTCGTCACGGGTGTCATCTGCTACCCAAACATGTTTTTGAGGATCGACATGACAGAGAGCATGGAGATCTTGTTCCGAGAGTGCAAGGGCGGCAAGAGCTACGACAGGTTGTGTGATGCGGCACACAGGTGGCATAATATCCTGACACTTGCTATCGCCGCTACCATCAGGACGCTATTGGTCATTATATCGTTCGGTTGCAAGGTACCCGCGGGCATCTTCGTGCCCAGCATGGCCATTGGCGCAGCATTCGGTCGTATGGTGGGCATCTGTGTTCAGGCGCTGCAGGAAGCCTTTCCTGCTTCTGCTTTCTTCTCGGCTTGCGGTCCAGATGAGGTGTGCATTACGCCGGGTACATATGCGTTCCTTGGAGCAGCGGCAGCACTGAGCGGCATCATGCACATCACTGTCTCGGTGGTGGTCATCATGTTTGAGATTACAGGCGCGTTGACGTACATTCTGCCAACCATGATTGTCGTTGGCGTCACCAAAGCAGTCAGCGAGCGGTTCGGACACGGCGGAATTGCGGATCGCATGATCTATCTCAACGGCTATCCGTTCCTGGACAGCAAAGAAGAACACACGTTTGGCGTGCCTGTCTCCCAGGTCATGGCCAGCCGCGTTGTGTGCCTGACGGCTACTGGCATGAAGTTACGCCAGATGGAGCGCTTGATGAACAAGAACCAATACCAAGGCTACCCCATTGTCGAAGACCTTGAGACGAAGACGCTGGTCGGGTATATTGGACGCACCGAGCTTCGGTATGCCATTGACCGCGCGAGGATTCAGCAACAGGCCCCGCCGCACGCCCAGTGTTATTTCATCAACGCAAGTTCGAGCAGCCCAAGCAATTCCCGAAATCACAGTGGGGCTGGCCTGCCGCCAAATACGACGTTTGATTCTATTCCCGCTACGTCGTCGCAGGCATATCTGGATTTTACACGATTCGCTGATCCCACGCCGCTCACTGTGCACCCCCGCCTGCCGCTCGAGACGGTCATGGAGCTGTTCAAGAAGATGGGGCCGCGAGTCATTTTGGTCGAACATCGCGGCCGGCTCACAGGTCTCATCACGATCAAGGACTGCCTGAAGTACCAATTCAAGGTCGAGGCTGGACACGGCAGCAATGGCGGTGCCGGCAGCGGAGATGAGGGCATGGAGAGACTGGCGGCATGGGGAAAGCGTATAATCAACTGGGCACGAAGAAAAGTAGCCATGAAGGAGGTGGGGCAATTGCGGTTAGTTAGTCCTGGTCCCACGACAGCTGACCTGAGGGTTGAGAGACAGGCAGGGAATAGAGAGGCTTTTACGCTAGGGGGCGATGATGAGGATGAGGATGAGGAGGACGAATTTAGTCGCGGGGGCCAGGGTACGGAGCTGGAGGACAGGAGGAGGGGTGGAGGAGGCAGATAGTGGGTCCCTGTACATAGCAAGAAATCTACACCTACATACTTAGCAGCTATTTATTCGTACTAGTATGTAGTTTGGCGCCGCCCAGGGACGCCTCGTTTTGCTGATAGCCCGCGTCTGCTAGATGAAATTGGAGGAGCGGAGAGGCTAGTCTGAGAAAAGCGGGGCTGGGGGGCGGTCCGCTTTCACGTGTGGACACGTAACTTGCTGCGTGGATCTCTGTCGTCGCGGGGGTGCGGAGGGCGAGCAGGCCATCTGTCAGAGGTGTCAGAGGCCGTCAGAGGCCGTCAGCAGTGGTGGGCTGGACAGCAGCAGATGTGCAACAGAGGGCGTGTCCAACGGCTGTCAAACGCCTCTGCCTTTGCCTTTGTGCCAGTGCCTTTGCCGCCAACGGCGTCGGGCAAAAAGGGACCAATCAGCGGGCGCCGTGCCCGCAGGGGCAGCGGTGGGCACTAGTCGGGATAAGCGTGTGACGACCGTGCGCGCGTACTTCGCGTGCGCCTACTGTGGAATTATCAGAGACAACTCATCACCACCGCCCGGCCCTATCCCAAAAGCGCCCCTCTGCCACTAGTAATTTTACCCTCCGAACGACTGTTCGCTCGCCGCATTGCCCTAAGCGCGAACCACATGTCTTCGTAGCGACCGACAGCCGCCAGACACTCACCATGGAGGGACCATTGAACCCAGGGGCCCCGAATGGCAGCAGCATCCGCACACCCAGCCCCTCACCGCCCTCGATAGACCCCCAGCTCATCGTCGACCACCTGGAAAAGGTGCTCGATGTCAGTCTGGGCGCCTCCGAGCCGGACCTGTACGCCCCCGGCAGCCTGCTGTCGCCGGCCAAGCTGCCGGACACGCTGCAGCGATGCGCCCGCTTTGCCTCCGAGGGCCAGTCGGTGCTGTACGTGGTCAAGGACCGAGCAGACGAGGCTCGCATCGACGGCATCGACGGCGCAAACGGCACGTATCCCTCTGCTGCCGGGCCTGAAGCGCCTGTACTGACCCCAGGCGCAGGCGCCCCTCAGCGCTATACCTACACCCTCTCGAGCGAGATCACGGCCTCTCCTACTTGCGCCGCCTTTGTTGTTATTTCCAAGCGACCGATACCCATAGACGCTGCGATACCCCTTAGCCAGCAGGTCCTTATCCAGACGCTGCCCGGCTTTATACTTTCTAATAACGCTTCTTCGCCCGACGGCACGCCGTATGAGTTTCTTCGTTCGCTTATTCAGTCGGCCGTCGAGCCCTACTTTGATACCTACACCAAGAGCCAGCGCGACCTGGCGGGGAAATACAGCAAGGGCGACAACGATGCGAGGACGGGCATTTCGGCTACTAGGAAGAAGATTGCCGAGTTGGCTGTGAGTCTGGGCAATCTCGAGCAGAATGTCGAGATTCCCGAATTGCTTTTGCCGCTGCACCCCCTCATTCAGACGGCCCTGGAAGAGGCCAGCCAGCGTGGCGTGAAACCCTCTCCTGAGCTGATCCCCGCGACCATTGTGCAAGACAGCAGCTTTCTCAACGGACTGCAGGCGACAGTCAACGGTTGGATCAAGTCGATACAGACCATCACCAAGACCTCTCGGGATGTGTCCACTGGCACTGCGGCGCAGGAAATCAACTTCTGGATTTCCATGGAGTCCAGGCTGCACGATATTGAAACCCAACTCGGTAGTCCCGGCGTCAGGCTTACGCTGGACGTGTTGAAGAATGCAAAGCGTTTCCAGGCGACTGTGAGTTTCAGCGCAGACACTGGTCTGAAGGAAAGCACGGATCTTGTGCAAAAGTACAACCAGCTTATGCGCGAGTTTCCGCTCGACCAGCTACTGTCTTCAACTTCGCTCCAGGCAGTCCAGGAAGCAATCCAGTCCATTTTCAGCCACATGAACAAGAAGCTCCGCATCTGCCCGTACCCTGTCCGTCGTGCTCTCCCTCTTGTTGAAGCGATTTCGGGTGATCTCGACAAACAATTGCACAGCTTGCTCCACGGCAAGACGCTCATGCACATGGATTACCCCGAGTTCCAGGCTATAATGGCGGTTGCTGAGAGCATCTGGCGTACCTGGGAGGAGAATGTCAAGGAGTTCACCAACGTTGCGCGTGAAGTGACGAGGAGGCGGAATGAGAAGTTCATCCCGATCAAGATTGCAGCGCGACACAAGGAGATGGAGGAGCGCATTCGCTACATTACTACTTTCCGCAAGAACCACGAGCAACTGCAGCGAACCATTGTCAATGTGTTGGGATCGCAGTCGTCTTTGTCTGAGAGCGCGCCAGCCAAGGAGGCGGTCATCATCGAGGAGATTGGTGATGTGGATGCCGTCAAGGAGGTCAAGGAAGCCTACGACGTTTTGAAGGACGTTGATGTTCTGGATGTGTCGCCCGAGGGCACACGGCTGTTTGAGCAGGCAGAACAAAAGTACAACGAGCGCACATCGCGTGTCGAGAACTCAATCATTGCAAGGCTCAGGGACCGCCTTGGTACCGCCAAGACGGCTAGTGAGATGTTCCGCGTCTTCTCCAAGTTCAACCCGCTGTTTGTGCGGCCAAAGATTCGGGGCGCCATCTCAGAGTATCAGACGCAGCTCATTGAGAATGTCAAGCAGGACATCCTGGCTCTCCATGAGCGCTTCAAGCGCCAATATGGTAACTCTGAAGCCCATGCCATGGCGCAGCTTCGCGACTTCCCTCCAGTATCTGGTGCTGTCATTTGGGCTCGTCAGATTGAAACACAGCTGGAGAGCTACATGGGCAAGGTCGAGGACATTCTCGGCAAGGACTGGGCGCTCCATACCGAAGGTCAGAAGCTCCAGGCTGAGAGCAGCATGTTCAAGAAGAAGCTCGACACCCGGCCCATCTTTGAGTCATGGCTTCAAGAAGTTGCGCGAAGGAAGCTGTCAATTTCCGGACGACTCTTCCTTGTCAACAGGAATCGTGCCGCTGGCAACATTCTCGAGCTGAATGTCAACTTTGACGCCCAAGTCATTGCCCTATTCAAGGAGGTTCGTAACTTGACTTGGCGTGGATACCAGGTTCCGCATGGTATCAACAACATTTCCAAGGAGGCCAAGCGTGTCTATCCTTATGCAGTCAGCCTCATGGAGAGCGTCCGCACGTACACTCAGACTGTGCGCTCAATCACTGAGATGGGTAGCGTCGCGCTTCTTCTCAACAACTATGTCAACGATGTTCAGGCACTCGTCGGCAAAGGTGTGCCTCTCAAGTGGGAATCCTTTGTTCACGCTTACGACCTTCATGTCCGACAGTCTGGTTTCCCTGTTGGTGGTGGCAGTGTCCGCAGCGAAAGCAAGCACGTCCAGTTCGTTCGCGACTTTGCTGCTGCGACGTCTCTGCTTCAGTTGAAAGTCGGCACTTTGGTGAACATCAATGCTGTGATTGAGAAGGCATTGAAGGACCTGGAAACATGCGCTTACACCAAAGACGCATTCCAGCAAAACCTAGAGACCATCCAAAAGTCGATTGATCAGCTGAACCTTGAGAACTACGCCAACCTTGCTTCTTGGGTTGCTGACATGAACGCACGCATCGAGTCTATCTTGCTGGTCCGACTAAGCAGAGCCATTGCTTTGTGGATTGAAATCTTCAACAACGCCGACGAAGAGAACCAAGACCGGCGCCCAGTCAGCGAGCCGGCTTCTACAGAGCTACCAGAAGTCAAGCCGACTTTGGCTCAGTTGACGCTCGAGATTACGATGCGAAACCAGGTCATTTACCTCAGTCCTCCTGTCGAATACGCTCGAGCAAGCTGGCTTGAACAACTCCAACAGTGGCTTGCAATTGTTTGCACGCTCCAGAAGATCAAGGCTTCTCGATACGAGATCCGTCTCGAAGCGACCAACGATACCTCTGTCAACCAGTTCTCGGACCTGCCGAGCCGATGCACCGAGTCGCTCATTGAAGTCTACGGCGCTGTAGAAGGCAAGCTGCGCGACATCTCCTCTTACGTCGATGAGTGGCTGCAGTTCCAATCTCTGTGGGATCTGCAGTCTGATCATGTTTACGACATCCTTGGTGAAGATCTCTCCCGGTGGTTGCAATTGCTCCAGGAGATTCGCAAGACGCGCGCCACCTTTGATAACTCGGACATTAGCCGCCAGTTTGGCTATGTCACGGTCGACTACGACCAAGTGCAGGTCAAGGTCAACGCCAAATACGACCAGTGGCAGCAGGAGATCCTTACCAAGTTTGCCAGCAGGCTTGGTCAGCGTATGAACGACGTCTATGTACAGATCGAGAAGGCCCGTAAGGATCTAGAAATGCAGACTCTTGAGGCATCCTCTACTGCTCAGGCGGTCTCATTCATCACCACTGTTCAGCAGTGCAAGAGGAAGGTCATGGAGTGGGAGCCGGAGATCTCTACATTCCGTCAGGGTCAAGCTACGTTAGCCCGTCAGCGCTACCAGTTCCCGTCGGACTGGCTCCAGATGGAACAAATTGACCACGAATGGCAGACGCTGAATGAAGTCTTGGAGAGGAAGACCAAGATTGCAAATGACCAGGCTGACGGACTGAGAGCTAAGATTGCTGCCGAGGACAAGGTTGTTAATCAGAAGATTGTGGACATCACGGGAGAGTGGGCTGAGGAGAAGCCTGTGGCTGGCAACCTTGCGCCTGCGGATGCTTCGGCCATTCTAGCCAAATTCGACCAGAAGCTCAGCCAACTTCAGCATGAGTCCAGCAATATTTCGAAAGCCAAGGAAGCTCTCGGCTTGCCTCCTTCCCCTGAGAATGCGCTCGAGACTCTCCTGGAAGAAGTGCAGGATTTCAAGTCTGTCTGGTCAGCGCTCGGCACGATCTGGGCAAGCATTGACGATCTCCGTGAGGTCTTGTGGACTAGTATTCAGCCCCGCAAGCTGCGACAGAATCTTGACAACCTTCTCAAGATGACCAAGGACATGCCCAGCCGCATGCGACAGTACCAGGCTTTTGAATATGTCCAGACTACATTGAAGCAGCTACTCAAGGAGAATGCGATCCTCGCAGAGTTGCGCTCCGATGCAGTCAAGGAGCGCCACTGGGCCAGGATCTTCAAGAACTTGAGGCCACACAAGCGATATTCTCCCATCTCAATGACTCTCGGTGATGTCTGGGACCTCAAGCTTGGTCCTAGCGAGAAGATTATCCGCGATGTCATTACCCAAGCTGCAGGTGAAATGGCACTGGAAGAGTTCCTCAAGCAGGTCCGCGAGACTTGGCAAAACTACGCTCTTGAGCTTGTCAACTACCAGAACAAGTGCCGTCTCATTAGGGGTTGGGACGACTTGTTTGCCAAGTGCAGTGAGAACCTCAACTCTCTTCAAGCTATGCGACATTCACCCTACTACAAAGAGTTTGAGGAAGAAGCTTCATCCTGGGAAGACAAGCTCAACCGTGTGCATGTCCTTTTCGACGTCTGGATCGATGTTCAGCGTCAATGGGTGTATCTCGAGGGCGTGTTCACAGGTAACGCTGATATCAAGCACCTACTCCCTATGGAGTCGGCTCGTTTCCAGAACATCAACTCTGAGTTCTTGTCCGTCATGAAGAAGGTCTCGCGTCAGCCGTTTGTACTCGAAGTGCTCAACATTTCCGGCGTACAAAAGTCACTTGAACGTCTTGCTGAACTTCTTAACAAGATCCAAAAGGCCCTTGGAGAGTACCTCGAGCGCGAGCGTGTTTCGTTCCCTCGTTTCTACTTTGTTGGTGACGAAGACTTGCTGGAGATTATTGGTAACAGCAACGACGTTCTACGCATCGCTAAGCACCTGCGGAAGATGTTCGCTGGTATCTCTGGACTTGTTACCGATGAGGACGGAGTCATTCAAGGATTCACTTCCAAGGAGGGAGAAGAGGTCCAGCTTCGAAAGGAAATCTCGCTCGTCAAGACACCCAGGATCAACGAATGGCTTGGTGCTCTCGAGATGAACATGAAGACCACGCTCGCAGAACTTACTTTTGAAGCCTACGAAGAGTTTGCGCAACTCATTGAGCCTGATATGATGGATGCGGCGGCCTTTATGGAATACATTGCAAGGTACCCAGCTCAAGTTGTTGTCCTCGGAACGCAGATTGCTTGGACCCATGCTGTGGAGAGGTCCCTTGCCGAAGAAGGTGCTACCCTACCCAAGCTGTACGAGAAGCAGGTCAATGTTCTCAAATTGCTCGCCACTGCTGTCCTGGGTGACCTTGAACCCATTCAGCGCCGCAAGTGCGAGGATCTCATCACCGAATTCGTCCACCAGCGCGATGTCATCCACAAGCTGGAAAAGGTTGGTGCGCGTTCGCCAACGCACCACATGTGGCTTCTTTGCATGCGCTACGTATATGAGCCTGGCAACGATCTGCTTCAGCGATTGCGGATCAAGATGGCAAATGCTGTTCTTGATTATGGTTTCGAGTACTTGGGTGTCGCCGATCGCCTTGTGCGCACGCCTCTTACAGATCGCTGCTTCCTTACTCTTACCCAGGCCCTTTGTCAGCGACTTGGTGGTTCTCCATACGGTCCAGCTGGTACTGGTAAGACCGAATCAGTCAAAGCTCTTGGTGTGCAGCTTGGTCGCTTTACTCTGGTCTTCTGCTGTGACGACACATTCGATTTCCAGGCCATGGGTCGTATCTTCCTTGGTATCTGCCAAGTCGGTGCTTGGGGTTGTTTTGACGAGTTCAACCGTTTGGAAGAGCGTATCCTTTCGGCCGTGTCTCAACAGATTCAGAACATCCAGCTCGGCCTCAAGAAGGGCGCAGAAGACGAGAAGTCGTCGATTGAACTCATCGGTCGCCAGCTTAAAGTCAACGGTAATACCGGAGTTTTCATCACTATGAACCCTGGCTACGCAGGTCGCTCAAACTTGCCTGACAACCTCAAGAAGCTCTTCCGAAGTGTAGCCATGTCTAAGCCTGACAAGGAGCTTATTGCTGAAGTCATGCTGTACTCCCAGGGTTTCTCTCAAGCAAAGGAGCTGTCGAAGCAAGTTGTACCTTTCTTCGACAGGTGTTCATCAGGACTCTCCAAGCAGGCCCATTACGACTTTGGTCTCCGTGCATTGAAGAGTGTGCTTGTCAGCTCTGGTGGATTGAAGCGCGCTCGTCTCGCTCACCAACAAGAACCGCAGTCGCTGGGTGAAGAGGGCATGGAGCCTCAGATCATCATCCAGAGTTTGCGCGAGACCATAGCGCCAAAGCTCATCCGCTCCGATGTCGAGCTCATGATGAATATCCAGGAAGAGTCTTTCCCTGGTGTTCAGTACATTCCTGCTCCTCTCGATAAGCTGACTGCGGCGATTCACAAGTGCGCTGCAGAATCCAAGCTCGTTGTCAGCGATTCATGGATGACCAAGATTATTCAGCTGTACCAAATTCAGAAGCTCCACCACGGTGTCATGATGGTTGGTTCCTCCGGCTCTGGAAAGTCTGCAGCATGGAGAACACTTCTCTCCGCTCTGCAAGCTGTAGAGGGCGTCGAGGGCGTTTGCCATGTTATTGATCCCAAGGTCATGTCCAAGGAACAGCTCTACGGAACGCTCGACAGTACCACGCGCGAGTGGACAGACGGTCTTTTCACCAGCATCTTGCGTAAGATTGTAGATAACCTCCGTGGCGAAGACAGCAAACGCCACTGGATCGTGTTCGATGGTGATGTCGATCCCGAATGGGTTGAGAACTTGAACTCTGTGCTCGATGACAACAAGCTTCTCACGCTGCCAAACGGAGAGCGTCTCAACCTTCCATCCAACGTCCGCATCATGTTCGAAGTTGAGACGCTCAAGTATGCAACGCTTGCCACTGTTTCTCGTTGTGGTATGGTCTGGTTCAGCGACGACACTGTTGAGGTCGACATGATGATCAAGAACTATATTGAACATCTCAAGACGGTGCCATTCGAGGATATTGAAGACGACTCGGTCGCTCCCGGACAAATGTCCCAGAAGACACTGACGACTCAAGGTGTCATTGCGGACTTCCTGCACATCAAGCTCACCCAGGATCGCTTCATTGAAAAGGCTCTCAGCATGGCGAGGAAATTCAAGCACATCATGGAGTACACCGACATTCGCGCTCTCAACACGCTGTTCTCGTTGCTGAACAAAGCATGCCGCAATGTGCTGGAGTACAACGTGCAACACCCAGACTTCTCGCTTGAAGACGACAAGATGGAGACATACCTTGCCAAGAAGCTGCTCGTTGCCCTTGTGTGGGCATTGGTTGGTGACTGCCCTCTGATGGAGCGCAAGCAATTTGGTGACCTCATCGCTGGACTTACCGATGTCGAACTTCCTACTCTCAACGAGTCTACTTCACTCATCGACTACGATGTCAAGCCTGACAGGCCCGAGTGGGACACATGGCAGAGTCAGGTGCCCAATGTCGAAGTCAACACTCATTCCGTTACCCAAACAGATGTGGTCATTCCTACGCTCGATACTGTTCGACATGAAGACGTCCTTTACTCTTGGCTCGCAGAACACAAGCCTCTGCTTCTCTGTGGTCCTCCAGGTTCCGGAAAGACCATGACTTTGTTCAGCGCACTTCGCAAGCTTCCCAACATGCAGGTCGTGGGTCTCAATTTCTCCAGCGCGACTACACCGGATCTCCTCATCAAGACCTTCGAGCAGTACTGCGAATACAAGAAGACGCTCAATGGTGTTCAGCTTACTCCTACACAAGTTGGTCGTTGGCTGGTCATCTTCTGCGATGAGATCAACTTGCCAGCCCCAGACAAGTACGGCACTCAGCGAGCCATCTCGTTCCTGCGACAGCTTGTTGAGCACAATGGCTTCTGGAGGACGTCCGACAAGACATGGGTTACGCTTGACCGCATTCAATTCGTTGGTGCTTGTAACCCTCCAACCGACGCTGGTCGTACGCCCATGGGCCTTCGATTCTTGCGCCACGCTCCGCTCATCATGGTTGATTACCCTGGAGAGCAGTCGCTTCTTCAGATCTACGGCACCTTCAACGCTGCGGTACTCAAGATCATTCCGACACTGCGCGGTTATGCCGACGCTCTCACCAAGGCGATGGTACAACTTTACAGCGAATCGCAGAAGCGCTTTACGCCTGACATTCAGCCTCACTACGTCTACTCGCCCCGTGAGCTTACTCGCTGGGTTCGTGGTATCTATGAGGCTCTGCGACCACTTGAGACTCTACCGGTTGAGGGGCTTGTTAGGATCTGGGCGCACGAAGCCCTGCGTCTGTTCCAGGACCGTCTTATCGCAGAAGAGGAGAGGCAATGGACCGAAGAATGCGTCCACCGCGTTGCTACTGAGCACTTCCCCACGATCGATGAGGAGAAGGCTCTTGGAGGCCCCATCCTGTTCTCCAACTGGCTTTCAAAGAACTACGTACCAGTTGAGCGTGAACAACTCCGAGAGTTCGTCAAGGCACGTCTGCGAACCTTCTGTGAAGAAGAGGTTGACGTTCCTCTTATTCTCTTCAACGATGTGCTGGAGCATGTCCTTCGCATTGATCGTGTCTTCCGCCAGCCACAAGGTCACCTTATCCTTATTGGTGTCAGTGGATCCGGAAAGACTACTTTGTCGCGTTTCGTCGCCTGGATGAACGGGTTGAGTGTCTACCAGATCAAGGTTCACGGTAAATACTCTGGTGATGATTTCGATGAAGATCTCCGTACTGTGCTCCGTCGCTGTGGTTGCAAGGGCGAGAAGATCTGCTTCATCATGGACGAAGCCAACGTCCTTGACTCTGGTTTCCTCGAACGCATGAACACCCTTCTTGCCAACGCAGAGGTCCCTGGTTTGTTCGAGGGTGACGAGTATGCCTCCTTGCTTACCGCCATCAAGGAGGGTGCTCAGCGTCAAGGTATCATTCTCGACTCCCAGGACGAACTGTACAAGTGGTTCACGGAGCAGATCGTCAAGAACCTGCACGTTGTGTTCACGATGAACCCGCCGGAAGGAGGTCTCTCGTCAAAGGCTGCAACCAGTCCGGCGCTGTTCAACCGTTGCGTGCTCAACTGGTTTGGAGACTGGTCCGATCAAGCTCTCTACCAAGTCGGCTCCGAACTTACGCAGTCGGTCGACTTGGATCGCACAACCTACATTGCGCCTGATAGTATTCCAGTCGCCTACCGTGGACTTTCTTTGCCACCATCTCACCGCGAGAGTGTGGTCAATGCCATGGTCGCGGTGCACCATTCGCTTCGCGGCAAGAACGCCAAGTTGCAGAAGACACAGAACCGCAAGATGTACCTTACGCCACGACACTTCCTGGATTTTGTTGCGCAATACGTCAAGCTGTACAATGAGAAGCGTGAAGATCTGGAAGAACAGCAACGCCATCTTAACGTCGGTCTAGAGAAGCTCCGCGAGACATTCGACAAGGTCAAGGAACTCCGAGCAAGCCTTGCAGAGAAACAGACGCAATTGACGAAGAAGGACGCCGAAGCAAACGAAAAGCTGCAGCGCATGATTGCGGATCAGAACGAGGCGGAGCAGAAGAAGGCGGGATCAATCAAGATGCAAGCTAGGCTTGCCAAGGACAAGGAGGAGATTCAGAAACGACAAGAGGTGGTGAACAATGACTTGGCTGCAGCCGAGCCTGCTGTCATCGAGGCACAGAAGAGTGTGCAGAACATCAAGCGCCAGCACCTTACTGAAGTTCGATCTATGCAGAATCCTCCCGCTGGTGTCAAGCTTGCGCTCGAGGCTGTTTGCACCATTCTTGGTCACAAGCCTGACAGCTGGAAGACCATTGTTTCCATTGTCAGGCGCGATGACTTTATCGCCAGTATTGTGCAATTCGACAATGAGAGGCAGATGACTGCCGCACACCGCAGGAAGATGCAGAACGAATATCTGTCCAAGGAGGAGTTTACGTTTGAGAAGGTCAACCGCGCTTCTAAGGCTTGCGGTCCCCTCGTCCAGTGGGTATCTGCGCAAGTCACCTACTCCGACATTCTCGATCGTGTTGGGCCTCTGCGCGCTGAGGTCGACAACTTGCAGGTTGAGCTGCAAAAGACGGAAGAGGGCGCCAAGGAGACCCAAATCCTCATCCAGAACCTCGAGGAGAGTATCGGACGTTACAAGACGGAATATGCGGCCTTGATCAGTGAGACTCAAGCCATCAAGGCAGAGATGTCGACTGTCCAGTTCAAGGTCGACCGCAGTGTGCGACTCCTTGACAGTTTGTCGTCTGAGCGCACGCGATGGGAGGAGAGCAGCAAGTCTTTCGATTCCCAGATCGACACCATCGTCGGTGACGTTTTGGTGGCAGCGGCTTTCATCGCCTATGCTGGTTACTACGACCAACAATACCGCAAGGCGCTCACAGAGGACTGGTACGACCATCTCAAGCAATCTGGCATCAGCTTCAAGCCAACAAATCCATTCACGGAATACCTTTCCACAGCTGATGACCGATTGAACTGGCAACACAATGGTCTGCCTGTTGACGACCTTTGCACGGAGAACGCCATCGTCTTGCAGCGGTTCAACCGTTACCCGCTCATCATCGACCCGTCCGGTAGGACTATCGAGTTCTTGCAGAACGAATGCAAGGATCGCCGCCTCACGGTCACCAGTTTCTTGGATGACTCGTTCACGAAGCAGCTTGAGAGTTCGCTGCGATTCGGTAACCCGATCTTGATTCAAGACGCCGAGCATCTCGACCCTATTCTCAATCATGTTCTCAACAAAGAGTACCAGAAGACTGGAGGTCGTGTCCTCATTCAACTCGGCAAGCAGGAAATCGACTTCTCGCCCTCCTTCCGCCTGTACCTGTCTACTCGCGATCCTTCTGCCAACTTTGCTCCCGACATTTGCAGTCGTACCACCTTTGTCAACTTTACGGTCACGCAGAGCAGTTTGCAGACGCAGACACTCAACGAGGTCCTCAAGTCCGAGAGACCAGATGTCGACGAGCGCCGCTCCAACCTCATCAAGATGCAAGGAGAGTTTGCAGTTCACCTTCGCCAGCTTGAGAAGCGATTGCTGCAGGCCCTTAACGAGTCGCGCGGTAACATTCTCGACGACGATCGCGTCATCGAGACGCTCGAGACGCTCAAGAAGGAAGCCAAGGAAATTTCTGAGAAGGTCTCTGAGACTGCCGGCGTCATGACAGAGGTCGAGAACATTACCAAGGAGTACACTGTTGTTGCTCGTTCGTGCTCGGCCATCTTTGCCGTGCTGGAGCAACTTCACCACCTCAATCACTTCTACCAGTTCTCGCTCCAGTACTTTACACAGATCTTCGAATCGGTGCTGCACAAGATTCGCAACTCTTCAATCAGTGGACATGCCGCCCGCATCGAACAGATTGTCACTGAGCTCTTTGTCGATGCCTACCGCCGCACCTCGCTGTCTTTGCTCCAGAAAGATCGTGTCACGTTTGCCATGCTACTTGTCCAAGCAGCACCCTACAAGATGGACAAGACGCACATTGACCAGATCCTTGACCCTGATCTCAAGGGTGTTGATGTGTCGACCGAAACAGACCGCAGGCAGGAAGTCATGGAGCGCGCAAGCAAGATTCACGTCTTCAAAGATGTGCTCGACAAGATTGATGAAAGCGCCTGGGACGCCTTCCTCAACGAAGAAATGGGAGAGCGACACGTACCAGAAGCTTGGCCAGAGGATCTCACCAAGTTCGACAAGCTCCTGCGGGCTCTCATCCTGGTCAAGCTGTTCCGTGTGGACCGCTTTGTGCCTGCTGTTGAGCGCTTCGTTACTGAAGTCTTTGGCAAGGGTATTCTCGACGCCAGCGGTGACCTGGGCGACATTGTCAAGCAAGTGAACGCCGTCACTCCAGTAGCTCTCAGCTCCAGCCCTGGTTTCGATGCCAGTTACAAGGTCGACAACCTTGTCGAGAGGGAGCAAGTCAGCTGTTCCAACATTGCCATGGGTTCCAACGAAGGTGCCGCATCAGCAGACAAGGCTATCGCCAACGCCGCCACCACCGGTAACTGGGTACTTGTCAAGAACGTCCATCTCGCTCCTCAGTGGTTGCAGTCGCTCGAGAAGCGTCTCGAGGCACTCAAGCCCAACCCCGACTTCCGCCTCTTCCTTTCCATGGAGTCCAGCCCCAAGATTCCTGTCAACCTCCTACGTGCTTCGCGTGTTCTTTCATACGAACAGCCTGCCGGAGTGCGCGCCAACATGAAGGATTCCTTGTCGTCTTTGGCTGAGAAGGCAACTAAGCCACCGGTAGAGAAGGCCCGAGTCTATCTTCTCCTGTCCTTCCTGCACGCGGTCATACAAGAGCGTCTGCGATACGCGCCCACGCTGGGATGGAAGGGTTTCTGGGAGTTCAACGACAGCGACGTGAGTTACCTTTGCATCATTTTCTACTTTGCATACGCTAACAACATCCTAGTACGAATGCTGCAGCTTCATCATCGACACGTGGATCGACACGGTCGCTCAGGGCCGCTCGAACATTGCGCCTACCAAGATCCCATGGGAGATGCTGCGCACTCTCATCACGGAAATGTACGGCGGCAAAATCGACAATTCAGAAGACTGGCACATTCTCGCTTCTCTCGTCGACGCATGCATGACTCCAGCCGCGTTCGAAGACAACTTCAAGATTGTCAAGGACACAGAACATAGCGAGGGTCTCGAGCTACCCAGCTCAACTAGCTGGAAGGACTTTATGGGCTGGGTCAACGACCTCCCTGAGCGTGAACCCCCAACTTATCTCGGTCTGCCGGCCAATGCCGAGAAGCTGCTACTTGTCGGCCAGGCAAACGACATGGTTGGCGGCCTGAAGAAGGTGGTGGAGATGCTGGATGAAGGAGAGCAAATCATGGCTGAAGCCGAGTCTTAGATTCTCTCAGTCTTACGAGAGAGTGGATACCATAGTTTCGTGTTTTACTTTTCTTTTGTAAGCTCCGACTTACATACCTATACTAGGGATAACGGTACTTTCTTCACATGAGGCGTTGGAAGGGTTTATCAAAGGACGAGGCGTTTTTTTCTTTTGACACAATTACACTGATATACCCCGACCCCCTTCCCTTTTTTCTGTCTATATACCCTGTATAGAAATCTTCTTTTTTTTCTTTCTTACATAGTGGGGGTGGGAATGTAATTGTGCATGATTTATCAGGTGTTTGTCCGCCATGGCTGTGAAATTGACTACTTTGACACTTGTTTGCTTAACATGACTGCTTCATTTCTAGTAACTTGCTAGTGCTAGATTTTCAACTTGACTTGCCACACACACACACACACACACACACATAGAGAGAGAGAGAGAGACAATTCTCACACTAGGAATCAGCCAAACACGCTTATTATGTGTACATTTTTTACTCGGGGAAACAAGAACAATACGATGATAATGATAATGATAATGATGAACGACGTTATGAAGCAACTACCTAACACCCAGTACAGTATCGAAATACATACTTAGCAATCAAACCAAAAAAAACCCCCCACGATGCAGAATTCCGCCAACACGCAAGCCCAAAAAAAAGAGCAGAAGACTGAAAACGTACATTACTTGACAAAAACAGCTATAATGAAGTTTTCATCCTACATAGACGATAAATGCAAACTGAGATAGATAGGTAGATAGCAATAGCCATAGCCACACACACACACACATATATATATATATATATAAATCCCAAGATAAGGGAAAGAACATCACTCTGTATCAGTGGAACTCAAGCGCTGCCTCTTGAACAGCTTGCGAACCTGGGATCTTTCGTCGACGACGGCATTTTTCTTGGCGGTGAGGGCGTCGAATTCCTTTGCCCATTTTTCGAGCCAGGCGCGCTTGTGTTCCTCGAGGACGTCGAGGTCGTGCTGGAGGGCGTTGATTTCCTTGGTGAGGGTTTGCTCCTTCATCACCATGCGGGCGAGGTCTTCGAATTCGGCGTCTTCGGTCGACCGCTTGATGCCGTGGGATGCCGGGTTGGTGGTGGTGGTGGTGGTGATGATGTCTGCGTCGGTGGATGGGGCGGGGTCGGGTGGCGGGATGGATGTGTGGGCGGGGCGGGGTGAGGAGGTAGGGAGGGACGGGAGGTGCGAGGAGGACATGGGTGGTTTCTGTGCGCTACTGCTGCCGATGGACGTGTGGATGGGGAATGCGCGGGGCGGCTCGCAGGCTAGTGTGGATTGGATGTCGCTTTCGTCGATGTAGGAGCTCTCGCTGGATAATCTGTGTCTTGCGGGTGGCTCGCTTGGGATGGTTGTGTCGGTCATGGCCGTGTGGCTGCTGGGGGGCTTGACGGCCGCGGGGCCCATGCGGTCGGCAATGTAATCTAGTGCGACGCGCAGACGCTCGGGGTACTTTTTCGTTTCCCGGAGCACGCAGTCGGTAGCGATGCCGGCGGCGATGAAGTAGAATTTGACCATGAGCGTTAGTCTGGCTCGATCCGACTGCTCCACGATGCCGGGCGGCTTTGGGTAGCACTTGCTGAAAGGGTGTAGGATGCGCTGTTTGGCTACTATCTCGCTTTTCATGTGCTCTTCTTCTTCCTCGTTGGGATTTTCGACATAAAATCGGACTTCGTGGAACCCACGCGCTAGCGCTACCATGTACGCGTAGATGTCGTGTCCTGATTTTGCCTCGCTTCCAACAAACAACTTCTTGGGTTGACCGTCCGGTTGAGATGTTTGGCTGACAAACTGCATTTCATGCGCTTCTGGCAGGTTGTCCAAAAGATATAACGCATTGTGATATTTTAAGTATTCCAGGATGCGCCGCAGGTCAGGATTGTCTTTTCCGCCCCGTGGGACTGATGACCGAAGTAAAGGGCTCTGGGGTTCAGTTCCGGCGCTAGTCAGCACGTTAGATGTATGATCGCGTTTGTCCTCATGCACGTCACATGTGCTGTCTGCGTCTTCGGGCTCCGGACTTTCTTCCAGGGTTTCGCGGCGCCTTCGACGGCGGTGCTGGTTACCATGTTCCTGGTAATACTTTTCGTTTTCAATACTTCTTATTGCAGATGCAAATACTTTGCAAAAGTCGTCCATATCGCCGCCCTCGATGGTGTCAATCAGGCCGTGTGACAGAAAATACCAGCGGATAAGCATGCTGAACTTGCGCTTCATGAGTTTTGTGTTGAAGGCAAAGTATTTGAAAGGCGGATCAAGGTCTTCTTTCATGACTTCATCTTGTGTTATTGTCATAATCAACGTAGATTTGTTGCCGTGCCGGTCAAAGTTCTTGGTACAATAGCGCACTTCCCGCGGTTTGTCGCCATAGCGAGTCAGATAGGCGAGTATTTGACGTCCTTCTGGATGGGCAATGGCCAGGCCAAATGTAGGGTTTCCAACTGAATATGGAACCCACGTCATGGATCCTGCTGGTGGTAAGGCATCGAGCTGAGGTCCAGCGCCATGGGAGACGATACGTTCTCGGACGTCGTCGAGGGACATTGCGAGAGTTTAGAAACGGTAGATGTATTTGGCCAGATGTTCATTGGTGGATGTCTCGAGCCCTTTCAATGCTGATTGCGGCGCTGACAACAGGGTGGCAACGAGTGCTGGGTTATTGTCGTTGACACAGCCCGTGACCGGTCTGCGCGTCTGACCAGCGCCAAGCAGACGCTTTACTTAGCCCCGCATCCACGGCCAGGACTCACACATCAAGTGTAGATTTCAGCAACAGATGCAACGGGCCGATAGAAACGCGATGGACGTGTTAGTATGTTAATAATGATCAGGCAAAGACAGGTTGCAGGAGTTTGGTACGTGCAGGAAAGGCGGCACGGGACGACTAGGGCCTAAGCGAAAACACGTGCTCACGCGTTGTACCAAGCGTCTGGAAGAGCCAGACAGCGTCTATTTCTATGTATTATTTATGATTGCAGAGTATGCATTTGGGGTATATGGTTTTATCAGGCTCCGCTTTTGCTCGACTGCCTTCCGCTCAACTTGCGACACAGTGGCTAATCAACGGATTGTTTTATGCTCTTACGGCCAGCTCCCATTTTTTAATGATCCAATAGGGGGAGGGGATTGGCGTAAGCAAACAAAGTTCAAGAAAAGTTTTAAGGGATTACGCAAAAGGAAAAGGAACAAAGCAAAACGCTAAAAACGCTGCAAACAAAGTGCTGTAGACGGCCAACCTATTGGTGCTGTTCATGGCATTGCTGCTGTCTTGCCCAGCGGTGGAATCTGGCCTTTTTCCACCCGCTCTGCCAACTTAGTGTAGCCTTGGGTCCATGTGTCGGCATATCCTTGGGCCTGACATGCAAACCAAAACGTATGCTGCTGCTAAGATGGCACTTGGTTTCGGCATTGTCGTTCCAGTTTCTTTGTGGAATCGACGAGTATGACCACTGCACACAGTATGTATTTTGTTCGCACGACTGCTCACATGCCTCTGGTGACTGTTCTCCTGACTTGGCACGGTCCTTGTGGACTTGATCTGTTTCGAACAAGATGTTCCAGCGTCCGTTTGTCGGTTCGGACGACAGGTTATCCCAGTCGGTTCGAGTGTAATTTAGATTTTCGGGGGTAAAGAAGCGGTCCCACAGATCCGCATAGTGCAACGGCCTGTCACTCGCCTGTTCTCTCTCCAATTTGGACAAATCACCGAGCATGTCTGGGGCAACGTGGTGCATCATGAGGATCGGCTCACACCACAGCGAAGGGTGGAAGGTAACCGTGGTGGGGTCAAAGCCGGAAATGCCGGGCCAGGCGGCGACAAAGTCAAGGTCGAGCTCCTCTTTCAGCATGGTCGAGACGAGATCGAATGCAGACACATGGTGCGAAATGCGCGTTGCCCAGTTATTGATGGCGTCCCTGCGGTCGACAAACAGCTCCTTCATAACCTTGCGCGACAAAATGAACGAGGTGCCACCGGCGGCAAAGGGGTCGGGGACGAGGGCAGTGGGGTCGGTGGGGGGGTTGGCAAAGAAGTGCCTCGCTTCGGAATCGTGCTGGCTGAGCCAGTCCATCAGGTTTGGCCTGTGGATGTACGTCTCGTCGTCTGCGAAAATGTACCAGCTACGGCCGGGGCGGTAGTCCCAGGCGGCCGCCATTGTCTGCAGCATCTTGTACTTGTTAAGCAGCTGCATTTCCTTGCGCTCGTCCTCCGGGTCCGGCTTTCGCAGATATTCCAAGGGTATGCTGCGCTGGCTGTATTCGAGCTGTGTGCGGTAGCGGTTCAGTTCGTCTGATTTCATGATGACGTCCGAGGGGAGGCGCCAGATGACATCGAATACGGGCCAGGAGCCTATCTCGGCCTGCAGGTCGGAGAAGAGCAGCAGCATCTCATGGTCGGCCTGCTGGGTGTTGAGGATGAGGGGCGCGGCCTTGGAGTAGACATTGATGGCCGTGGTGGTGATGGAGACGACGAGCTGGTCGCGCACGACGGGGTGAGGGCCGAAGGCGGCGCCGGGCTGGTGCGGGCGGCGGGCGGCAGGCAGCTCCTCGTCGTCGTAGGTGCGCGGCCATCCCTTGAGCCAGACGAAGGCGTAGAGGACGAAGATGGTCGAGATGAGGCGGGTGGTGCGCGGCATGTGTTTCCGGAAGGCGGACATGGTCGCTAGCAATTGGGCGGGGGCATGGGCGGAGGAGCGAGTGTGCAGGAGCAGCCAGCCGGGTCAGACGAGGCAGGACACGATGAAGGTGTAATCCAGCAAAGAGGCCAGCAGCCCGGTTGCAAGCGCCATTGTCCAAAGAGGCACGCGTGTCGCAAGCGGTGGTAGTCAGGGATGCGCCCGAGCCTAGACCCGCTCACTCGTGTGTGGCGGAGCACCGCTGCTGGCTCCGCGACACGCGTCGCAGCCATTCGCCGCCGCTGCTGCTGCTGACATGACATGACATGCATTTGCCCATCGCGGCCGGGGCGTGTTCGAGGATGATGAGGATGAGGAAGGGGGGGGAGGGGGAGGAGGAGAAGGATGGTAATGGCGAGGATAATAACAATGAGCGCATCGAGCATCGGCGTCGGGGGGGAGACGTGGCCTGCCGTCGACGAGCGAGCTTTCTCTTTACCCCCTGCCCTCGCACTCCCACACCATGCCCGCCGACTCTCCACCATGCGCCAGCCCTACCAGCCTCACGCCATCAGGCCAAGCATTATATTGACGGGCCCTGGCATTAGCGAGCCGGAGACAATGTGGGTGGCGATCATCGTCGTTTGGCATTCCCTACCCATCCATCACCATCCCAATCACCATCCCGTTGATTACATAACGTCACGGTACTGCTTACATAATGCTTTCACGCAGCTTACATAATACACCACAAGAACATGGCAACATATCCAGCGCAGACATCTATCCCATTCCATGGCCTTCGACGCCTTGAAACCACCGCTTTCCTATAGCAAGCCCCCAAATATTCCCGCTTATTCCCGCTGCTGTCACTTCCACATCCCCTCTCCTCTGTAATCACTCCATGTGACAGACATCAAGTACCATGGCCGCTGCCATGGCCGTTGCCAAAGCACAGGTGAAGAGCAAGCGCCCTGCTCCTCACCAGTCGGCCTCACCAACTGCCTCCCAGGCCCGTGCGCCCATCTGCACCTCCAAGCCCCCGAAGAACGGATATTCAGATACTCAATCACCCAAGAACAGTCTCAGCCAGCATGATTAACTTTGGTCACAACTTGCGACATGTCTACCAACACTAGCAACACCAACCATATCGACAGTGAGGACAGTGACAACAGTGATAGCAACATTACCACTCCAGACCAGCCTCGCGCTCAGACAGTGAATCTCCAGCATGCATATGATCTCTCAAGCCGCCTCTCCCAGAGAGAAATCGATGCCATTTATGCTGCCGAATACGGTACGCTGCATCATCACCACACACAAACACATACTCATAGGCCCCCATAGGAGAGGCTACAGAGGAAGATTCCCATGACTGGGTCCTGCTGTTCTTCGGTTTCCAACAAGACATGCTGAAAATCCAAGACGAACTACGCGAGACCACACTCGCAGGAGCGCATCCCGCCTCTGTTGCCCCGCATATTTTCGGACAGCTTCATACAGTCATGCAGGAGCGTGTTGCGGCGGTCGCACGTGGCGAGCCTATCACCGTAGAGGTGCGAGAATCTGGAAACAAATATATGTAAACATCATGGATTGATGCAAGATACAGGGCCATACCCCAAGAACTCCAGGGCCCATGATGACGCGGTGGGCGCAGGACATCGTGGCTAGTGAAACTTCTTTTTATCATCGTATTGAGATTGCGCTTGCTGCAAATGTTAGATCTAACTGTACATTGTAAGAGGTTTTTCTGACTGGAGAATAGGAGACACTGCCGGGTATGGATACATCTCCCGCTACTTCGTCCACGGATGCCATGGAGTCACGGGAAGAAGGGGATGCTGGGTCAGATACTGCTATGCAAGATTCTTGCGAATAAGTCGCAGGTGCCGTGTGCGATGCAGGACTGTTACTGGGATACCGAAGAACTTCACTTGAGTGTATATTCGATTACTATGGTGGACAAGAGTATTGTCTGCTGTGAGACGAAAGAGGGCCTTTCCATCTTTCATCATAGTTCCTGCAGTTCAACAACGAATTGCACAAAGGTCTCAAACGACATACCGGATCCTAATGATTTATCGGCGAGGAGCCAAGTATAGCAACTGGAAGTACTTTTGAGAGTCTAGATTGGATATTCTGCAAATGTTCATGTGTATACGAGACATGTGACATCTTCCTACCAATATATGTATGAAACGCATTCTTGTGAAAAAAAAAACTTCAAAAAAAGAAACAACATTGAGTGCTATGATCATATATTTTACTGAAGACATGTTAGTTCTGTATCGTCTACCACAACCTATGCAGCTATAGCTTCCTCTGCAATATCCAAGTATATTGAAGAGGGAGGCCATGTAGCGCACACTAATCGACGACCAATGTTGAATAACACATCATGAAGTGGAAGCTGAGAACAGTTTCTGCCACAACACTATGTCATAGCCTTTGAAAGAGTTGCTCTCTGATAATAACTATCCTCGCGCTGATAATTGCAATTGTCTAAAATCCAGCTGTACCTGAGACTGCAATCCCAATAGCCTACCTGCTCTCTGCTGTTGCAAATGAGCTTGATAGTTGGAGATGGAATACCACGCACTACAAACATGCAATACCACCTATACCCAGTCAATTTCAAATAAGAAAACTTAATGTAAACCTAGATGAAACACTTGAAATCTAATGATCGAGAGAAAGCTTGAAAGCGATTCATTAAGCCTTGACTAGCTTTCCACAGGGCGCATATTGCCCCGCTTCACTGTCTTATTATTTCGCTAACTAGGCTAGTCTATACACACAATTGATAGTAAAAGAGCCCATTTAGTACGAATGACGTATTTGCTTGTCAACTGCATGTTTGTTAGAGAGCTGCATGTAAGGTGAGAGAAGTGAAGGCATTTCTTCAAAGAAGCTAATGCACGATCCCTTGCCTTGAATTACTATCAGCAAACAGCTTACCTGCATATCCAAACAAGGTTCGATGAACTGCGAATAATTTCCACACGCAGCAATCCTTCAGCCTAGAAGTTGTATATCAATTGGGTGGCCACACAACTCTTTGTTGAGTAAACCGTACCAAGAACAGAACCTCTCAAAAGCCACACTCACCAGGCACCCACCTATCCGCGCCACGTGTATTTACGGTAGGCAGCTGCTTTGATCAAACTGCATAATCTCGAAGAATAGCATTCCGGTCTTGACAGACAAATTTCAAGCCCTGCCACTTTCGTGTCAGCATCAGTACGCTCAGCACCGCATGTCGCACACCGACGACCATCACACACCACCAACTACACCACCGGCGCGAAAAATCGGCCTCACATGGGACGATTTCCAGTACGAAGACGATACGGAAGCACTCCATGAATCCCCACCAGCACGCGCCAAACCACCAACCGCGCTGGACCTCACAATCTCCAAACTCCACCACGACCGCCAGCGCTTCACCAAAACCATTCCCAACGACCACAAAAACAAGCTGTGCAGCCCGCGCGACCGCAGCGCCGTCCTCGACATTTACACGGAAGCACTGCACAAAATCAACGCTACAAACCACGCGCAAATGTACACGGAAGCCAATGCCAAAATCAGGACTGTCCTCGGCATCCACAAGGCAGGGACCCGCGACGCCGTTTTCACGCACCAGTTACTCCGGCCCATTGAGCCGCTGTACGCCATGCCGCGCATCGAGGTCCGACACGACAAGCATGGGCATCGTGCTGCGGTGCGGATCCAGGAGTGGAGGAGAGACGGCTGGCCCGCCAAGTATCCCGTTAATGCGGTCCGAGAGGAGAAGGCGCGCAAAGGGCGGTTTGTAAGGTGGTTTGAGGAGGAGTGGGAGGATGAAGTGGAGGAGGAGTGGGATGAGGGCGAGGAGATGGGGAGACCGACTTGAGGGTTGTAAGAGTGCACACTTTGCGACTTGGTTGACCCATCGTAAGACGTGGAAAAACCATGGTCAAGGATACGCGGGAGCACCAGGACTTGGGTTCCCATGTTCCGCCCCCCCCTACTTACGCAAAGACCCTCGTCCCCGTTTTTTTAAACCTAGCGACTCAGCAATAGCCACCACCCGCACACGCACTGAGCGACAACCACCTAAAATAGAAGAAGCTGATACACAGAAAACAATCTTCTTCTTGTCAGGGTGTCTGTGGGCTTTTCAGAATTTCCAGGCTTCATATTGAGCAGGAAATAGATGACAGACATCAACAGGTCACGTGCCTGATTTCCGTGTCTGGTCTTATGGTCTAGTGGTATGATTCTCGCTTAGGGTGAACCCCGAGCACAGCTTGCGAGAGGCCCCGCGTTCGAGTCGCGGTAAGACCCATTCATATCTTTTTGGCTGTCGCTGTGGCAGTGAGAATTTTTGCTGTGTGTGAGAGTGACGGTATTTTTTTGCACGCTGTTGAATTTCTGCTGGCATTGTACGAACAACGATGTTGATGTACAGTGTTGTATGCACAATGGGTTGTGAGATGCCTTCACTGTCCTTCTTTTTTGCGTGTACCATGTATATATGGGACAGCAGGCTACCGTAGATTCTAACCAGAACAACTAACAAACGCATTAGCATTAGCATTAGCATTGGCAACTAACAAACCACAAGACAGCAGCACCATGTCTTATTCGTACAAGCCCAGGACGCCTTCGCCTCTGTCTCACAGCTACACGGCTGAAGAGATTGAGGCAGCTCAGATCCTCCTGTCACTTCGCGATGCCGCGATGTTGTCTGATCAGGGTACTAGGGATCAGGCAGGCTACAGCTCAGAAGAGACTGAAACTGCAGCAGAAGAGACTGGAAGTGAGGGAGACAGCGAGTCTGGCCAGGAACAGGATGCAGGTGAGTCCGAGAAAAAGGTGTGGAAGATTACGGTCACAAAGTATTCGGAGTATCCGGCCAGGAAGAAAGGACACTGTGGTGATGGCGAGGGTGAGGGTAAGTGAGAGGGTAAGTGGAGTATGAGAGAGAGGAGAGAATGTGTAGTAGTATCAGATATTCAACTAGATTGAAATGGCAAGTATATCTTGGAAAATTCCGGATACATTGAAAGACGTGAATATCAACGTGCAGATGATGTTACAGGGCATAAGAATTTGACTAAAAACGGTAGTCTGCGTGGGAAAAGCAAAGTTACCCCACCATACTGGCTCTCCACAAACCATGGTTTTTTCTGGGGAGCCATGTGCGATAACAGCGGTAGAGGTGAAGCGAAGCTTATCCAAGGCTAAGGACACTAGGCTATCGAATAAGCCTGTACTGCCATGTGGATGCATCGAGCACCATGTCGCGAGACGGGTAAATAGCCGGATTAGATACGGAGACGATTAACAGTGACCAAGAGGATGTGTCCCTGAGGTTGCGCAGACGATCGTTTCCCGGAATAGACTAAAGCAGGGCGTATAGGAAAAGCGGGGTACGGGCCGTTGGTCTGCTTGACTCACCTTCTCAGCTCGCGGCGGGATCAGCATGCACGGATTATGGATGTGGATGCATCGACATGCTGAACACGTGAAACAGTTCACGGCGTAAGAGCTGGTTCGATAATGAATGGGCGTGGATGCCGTTTCAAGAGCGGAATGTTGAGCTCACGTGTTCTCGATGTGGTTGGCAGTTGGGTGTGCCCTGCTTTGGCTTTAGCTTACAGCTGTCTGCTATACGTAATCCATGTGCTGACAGGCTGGTGAGTCTGGGCGTCAACAGGCTGTTCGTTGCCCGTCAGTCTGGCCATTACTGTATATGGGCTTTGTAGGCACAAAGGTGACGATCCTGTCTTACCGCGCCTTTGTCATGGTCGTATCGAGCCGAAGCATGGCTGGGCTTTGACGCGCTTTGTGCTCAATGTCCGCCTTGCTTTTGTGCGGTGAATGAGCGCCTGCGAACTAAGGGACCATGACGCTGTTGTCTCTGGTTGATTAGCCCGACCCTAGCCTATCCATCCAGATTGATATGTTGACGTTGTGCATGGCGCGACGCGACCAATCGTCGGACATGTGCTGGCTGGCTTTCGAACAAGTCTGGGCCACAAGTGTCGTCACGCCCAAGCTCGTCTGGCGAATGTTGTCGCCCTCGAGCCGGTTAAACCCTGAAACGCCGCCAGTTGGTGTTGCCAGCGCGTGATGGCCAGAGCTGGCGCTCGTGCCCGTCGGTTCGCCTTGGACAACACAATCGTGGTGTTGATGCATGGGAGTAAGACGGTGGTATGCGGTGGGCGTAAAGTAGCGGTGCTTTGCTGGCGGTGCCGACAGCATGTGGGAACCGCGTCACGGGCCCAAGGCGCTAGCCAATGAAACAGGCACCGCCACACCCAAGGCCAAAACGTTGGACGCAAGACGTTGGCCTCCAAACAAGGTTGCCAAACACGCCCCGCCCGTGGCAGGGAGGGTTTCTTTTGGAGATGAAAGGGGGGCGGCAGCGGTTTTGTTGAACAGCGGCAGGGTCGTGGGAAAGCAAGAAGAAGAGGCAGAAGAAGCAGAAGCAGCGAGAAGCGGCGGACAGTCGTCGCATTGCCCAAGGCGCTAGCCACGGCGATGGGCGCAGACAGCCAATCACGCGCGGGGCCCGCGACCCTATCGTCATGCGCCACCCCAGGGTGACGTCGGTTTCAGCAAAATCAAGCGCGGCCTTGTCATGGCTTCCATCATCATGGCTGCGCCCTGCGGCTTCAGAGGCATAAAGCACAGGGGCCCTGCTGCTACCGCCGCACTTTTGCTGCTGCAAACTTGTCCACCAAACACCAGACATCCACATCGACCCTCAATACGCCTGCTCCTCCCTCGACGCTCGACACCGTCCTTGAGCCCCAACCTCCCCGCCACCTCTTAATAATACCGCCAAAATGCTCTCTCCCGCAGTCGTCATGGGCCTACGCGGCGTCCAAATTCTCTTCAGTATCATCGTCCTGGGTCTAACGGCATACCGTACGTCGTGTCCAGCTCTCATACTCCATGCTTCTGCTAATCATGTCGCAGTCGTCGATGCATACGTGTCATGGGTCCCAGGGAGCGTCGCCTTTATGCTCTTCTCCTCCATCTGGACTCTTCTTGCTGTTGCATATCTCGTCCTTGCCCCGGCCCGATTTCCTGCTGCCGCTCACAAGTATGCCATTGCTGGTGTCGAGTTCGTGACCATGATCTTCTGGTTCGCGGCCTTTGTTGCCGTCGCTTCGCTGTGGGGAGACAGCTGGTGGGTCGGTCATGGCACCTTCTGGAGCTGCGGTGTGGCCGCCATTGTCTTTGGGGCTTTCCTCTGGTATGTATCCCATGTCGGTGTACTCGACGACAGCCGTCTAACATGCTTAGGGCCACTTTTGTCGCTACAACCATTCTTGCTGCGCTGCACATCCGCAGCTCGCCCAGGAACGACCCTGCGCCTCCCATGGCCAACGTCTAAGCAGCGGCCTACCGCAATCTGCACCAATGGCGCACCACCACAAAGACCAGACTGCTGGTCCAACCGGATATGATACCCCAAATCATCTCTTTGCATTCTTCTCTTGTCGTTATTAGGGCTCAAACCGCCCAATTAGTGTTTTACACCGAGAATTTGTCATGATATCTCCTTGGTACCTTATGGATCTTATACACGTATGCATAATGAAAACAGTTGATTCAAATACTCCTGTTACTGATGTGCACCATGTGAGGCTTGTCGCAGGCTAGGGACGTCGATGGATGGCTGTCATACACGGTAAGCTGAGAAGATGCACGGCCCTCGGACGTGCTGTTGAGGACATGTTGGACTTCGTCCGCGACATGTCCTTCTGTCACATGAAGTGCGAAGCCATGGGTGGTTGCGAGTCGCGGCCTTAGCTCCTATTTCTAGTCCTTGGCTACATAGCAGCACAATCTAGCATACCAATACAGCCATGACTCGGCACCGGAACCCGCTGCCGTGGTCGCCACCACGCATGCAACCAGGCACTTGTTGCCAGTCTCCAGACGACTTTTCGGGCGTTCGCTTCTGCATTCCGAAAGGATGGCAGACGCTACCACTCCCACTAAGCCCAGACAACACAGCGTGCATCCGCCATGCGACGACCGACAGCTTGGCCAACATTCCGCACATTGCCATGGCTCGACAAAACCGGTACCTTTAATTAAGAGAGCCGAAACGGCAGGCTCCCATTTGACTGGCTTGCAGACGCCTTCAGCAAGTGGTCCACCCGATCTTCTTCGCTTGCGCTGTCGGAGCAATGGCACGCCTGTCTCCCCCAACGGCATATGCATGCACGGGCCCCTTGTCGAGCTAGTGTGGGTGGTCAATGCGTGCAACGGGTCAGACAATGCAACACCACCACTAAAATGTCCGCCTATCAAAAATGAGGCTGTAGAGCACCATACAAAAGCTATTATCACGAGATTTTTTGGTGGAGTAGTCTAAATAGTTCAAAAAACAATCCTATCTACTCAAATTTCTTTGGCAGTTTAATGTTGCGGCCGCGCATCGTTGTTTTGGTGGTGGGCTGCGCAGCCGACGATGCAGACGCACCACCACTTTGGCTGCCTGCATCACCACCACCCTTTGACTTTTTTGACTTTTGAGACGATGAAGCTTTTCGTTTAGGTATATTTTGCTTATCGCGAGCTTTTTTTTGAAGTTGCGACTGCGCGATCGCGAGCTTTTTGGGCGCGTCTTAACTGGAGTTCTTTGGCCCTCACTTCTCTCACTTTATCCCTCGCTATTTTCTTCAACTCCCGCGCAGTCCTTGCCTCGTCTATTAATTTTTTTCGTAGAGCTATACTAGCAGCTCGTTCCTGTTGTTTCTCTTTTTTTTTTT